CTCTGATGATGGTCTTGTTGACATAGATACCCTTTTTGAAGTCAATATACTGGTGGGCAAGGGCATACAACTAGGGGGCACACCTGTGCTGCTTCTTTAGAAAATGTTTGTATACTGCTTTCCTTTGAGCAAACCCATGACAGCCATAAACAGTGGAGGAAGGTAAGAGTAGTGAATATGGACATTGTCAAAGTATTTTGGACAGCCTTACTAGAAGAGAGGAACAAGAAAAAGAACAAGTAACAAAAGCAAAGACAGAGGCAAAGACAGAGGCAAAGATGGAGGCAAAGATGGAGGCAAAGATGGAGGCAAGCAAGGGTAAAAGAGTCCATGGGGTGTGCAGGCACCTAGCATGCTACATGAAAGGCACAAGACAACATAGTCACATGTCCACATGTGATGTATACATTTCTATCTGATAACAGTTGCCTCTTGACACAGCTCAATGACACCTCCCTTCATAGCTCATATATGTGTGCCTTCAGGACAGCTCAGCATTATAAGCCTCATATGTTTTTACCTACCTGGTTGAAAGCCCACTGCTCATGCAACAGCTCCAGTGTCTCTGCCCTGTTGCTCAAAACGCACCAATTCCTTGACCAGATTATATCCCACTGAGGATTTGAGTCTTTTAGGCAAGAGGCCTTGGGCAGCTACATGAACTTCATTTGCAGAGAAGTTCTTCCTGCCGGACCAATGACCTTTGTTTGTTTGATTTACCTGTGACTGCCTTTGTCTCTTTTTTGCTAAAGACACAGGTGTCACCAGCACATTGGGTGGAACTCCTAATTTAGGATAGCACATCTTGCCCTTAGCTTTCTTTTTGACACAAAATTGATAAGCTCCCTCCTTCTCTGATGAGGGCACCACAGGCTGGCCATCAGGCAATCTCTCCTGAGAATCCCAGCCTCCATCATTGGATCTGTTGGGCTTGAATATGCTTCCTGAGAATCCAGCAAAAAAGCCTGATTGGCATTCACCATGCACTGGCCAAAATGGTGCTTCAGACTCTTCTAGCCAAACTTGCTGTAGGTGGTGATTCCTCCCTGGCATAGAGACACCCAAAGACATTGGCAAAGCCAGGAGATAGCTGGCAATTAGGGGTTCTTTGGGAAAGCAGGGCATAGTTGCTGATTGTTGTATGATGGAAGCTGTACCAAGAGTAAGACCTGTAACAAGTAGAACCAGTAAGTTGAGGTCTGCATACCATAGGCACAGCTTTCTCCTACCTGGCATTGAGTCTGACGGTTGTGCAGGTTCCACTAGATGCACATGTCTGACATGGCTTACAAGCCCTTCAGCTGAGTCAAAGGACAGTGCCTGGCAATTTTCCCAGTGGCACATGAGATCAGATTTCTGTTTCAGTCATGTCAGTCAGTGTGCTTCAATCACTTCAGGTGTGACTTCACTTGCCTTATGGTTTCCAAACCCATCACAATCACCTATAGCATACTTGAGGTGCTTGGAAATATGCTATCATCAAATCAGAGAAGTTGAATAGGTACACACTGTATGCTTGCTCACCTTGAGAAGAGTGTCTGTGTTTGCAAGTGCTGCATTGCATCCCACATTGGTCCACTTGCAAGGGATTGTCCTTGGATGCTCATACAATTCTCTTGATGGGCCTTCAATGGCTGTGGTGCTGGGTCCTAATGTATTTTGTGCCATTTGATAGGCAGGGTGGATTGGACAGTGGAAGGTGGGTGGTTGCTGTCGTGCTGGCCTGGTATCTCTGATTTGGGGATGGGACAAGACTTTCCAGTCACCTGTGAATCAAGCATCAGTCAGAGCACACTTCAGGCACCAGTAACTTTCCCTTGCTCTGGGAAAAGTGCAGGCCAACACAATCATTCAGTGCTGCAATGAAAATGACTCACAACAGACAGGGAATAGATGTGATTTGTGATTGCTCACCTACCACTGCAACAGCACCAAAGAGTGGTTGCTGCTGGGGTCAGAAAGCTATGTGTGCCTTCACCCTTTATCTTTTGGAACAGGTGATATTATCAAGGCTCAGATGGTAAACAAATGCAAAAAGAAATTCAACAAGACAAAACCATTGTGGGCTGTGAACTGCAGATAATATGATGATGTCATGGCTTAGTACTTAAAGATCATAATTTCCTTGTGTCCTAGATTTGGTCACATCTTCCATCAAACAGTTCTTGCATAAGAACAGTCACCTACAGTGGTAAGCATGTAGAGTCCATGTGCCCAATGTTGGCAGTGTTGGAGTTTAGTACCTTAATGTTTGTGTTGCATGCATATGATAATTTTGAGTCAATGCTACAAATTTTTGGCAATAATCATGTTTTACCTGTGCACATCCATCACCAAGCTGACTCAGCACCAGCCTCTGCTGGTGCACACTGTGGGCCCTGGATGATATGACCTCAGTGCGTAATTGTTCCTGCCCATCAGTGGGTTTTTCCCACCCATGCCAATGGTTTTGACCTCAGAGCATGGCAGGAGTGAACTGTAAGAGGCTTGCCTCATACCCTTCTTGACATATGGCCGGTCAACCCTTTTGGCTGCACCTCTTTGTCTTGATTGTTGGACTGCATTCAAGTAAGCATTAGTGGAGGGCAGCCTGTTGGACTCAGCAAATGAGAAGCGCTCCTGCTATGCATGCATGCAGGAGGCGGCCTGATAAAGCTGTGGGACAAAGAGCAGAAAGAACTCAAACAAATGGCAAGCACTTATACTTATGTTTTATGGAATGTGTATTGCCACATCACTTTTGAGTCTTGCAGGACTTGCCACACCATAGACAAGGACTTGGTGGAATGTTGATGTGGCTCTTCTTTTTTTGCCCAATGTCCTTCCCCGTCTTTTGCCCTTTGCTGTATAAGCCTAGGGGTCTGTGTGCAAGTTTAGTAACAGTTAGGACTGACTTCTGCCTAGTCACTGCTTGTTCTTTGTATGTGTGACATATATATACATTGGGGTTCTGTTTACAGCCCAGGAACACATTGCCCCAGCCAATCTTTGCCATTCTTTGCTGTTCTTTGCCATTCACATTGCCAGTGGAGAGGATAATAACCTCTTACATGAACACGGCTTTTCAAGTGTCCTAGAATTGAAACATGGCTGGGTTCATGACCAGACATCTTGGATCTTGAAGGCTGCCAAGTCCAAACATCTTGCTGGGACCACAGCCAATCCGCAGAAGCAAGCTGTGTCCTTGTGGTTGTGTGATTGCCATAGCTCTTTCTCTTTCACTCTTCTACAGCACCTACCCTCCTGCTTCCCACAATGGCCTTTCCATCCACCAGCCAGTCATACATCCCACCCAACCATGCCATCTCCCAGTGCCACAGTTCAAACAGATTTTGACAGCAACTCGACCATCATTGCACACATCTACCCCCAACTTTGCTAGCTTTTATGCTCTTGCCAGGCCACCTTCTTCCTGCATCCAACAAGATGATTTTCCCCACTCATCAGGCAGGATGTGACTGGTGGTACTCAGAAAGCAGCTGAGGTTGCCATTTGTTGCTTTACGTTGAAAAAGTGATCTAGCTCCACACTTGGATACTCTTCTCCTCCTCTTCTCCATGACCTCTCATTTCACCACTACAAGCTCTCACTCACAACACTCAACCTAACTTTCCTCCTTGTCCATCTACACTGCCGGTCAAACAAAATATCAGCATGACATTTGCAGCCAAAACTGTGGAAATGTCCGCGCAACTTTGGAGATCTTTGTTCTGGGATGTCATTCTGACATTTTTCAAAGACATCTCACAGACATTCCATGACCAGAATATCCCACGGACGTCTGCAGGGGCCCAAATGTCCTTGTGATATTTTTTCAAGGAGGATGAAGTATCCCTGTGATATTCTTTGGAGATGAAATGTCCCTGTGATATTCTGTGGAAGTTACCTTTACATACTGTACAAAACCACCATATGGATAATGCTATATATAGAGTCTCTTTGAATACTGGTTCATTGTCCGTATATGGGACAAGCTCCTGAGAGTTGTCACCGGCAGGAAGGGGTAGAGGGTCACTAGTTACAGTGTTGAAGTGCTGTAGGTGCAAGGTTGGGAGTAGGTAGACGGTGTCACCATTGAATGTTGGGGAGCATTTGACACAGGGTTCTCATACACATTCACTGTGTTTGCAGAATGAGCATTCCATCGCGCTTAGTAGCTCAATTGAGCATCTTGGACTGCTTTCTCCAACAATGATTTCTTACTTGTATGTTGATTGGTTGTCTCAAGAGAAATTATATTCCATGGCCAATTGGATTGCAGACTGGATGGCACATGATGCACACTACCTTGCCGTCATCCAGCAAAGGGAGGCGGCAGAAACCTGTCTTGTAAACCAGCAATGCAACTAGCTTCTTGAGGTCAACATACTCTTGCATTGAGCTCTGCATCTGATAAAGGGGCCCGCTCATCCCATACTGGTGGTTTAGGTGGGAGGTGATGGAAACCTATGGAGATCTGTCAGCCGCTGTCCCCTTCACACGATTTACACACTTACACCACACAGGCTGCTGAGGGCTCAGGTCTTGAGAGAACAATGGAAAACGCATTGCGTCGCATTGAAACAGACCCTGCCACAACCTCAATTGTCTTTCAGTCTTTTGGCCTTTTGTGTGTGTGCCTTTGCCTCCTCATCGAGCTGTTGTTGTTTTTTGACTTGTTGTTGTTGTCTCTTTTGCTCCCTGTCCATCTGCTCTTTCTCTATTGTTCCAGTCATAAACAATGCGCCAGAATCTACAAAGGTGACGGGCCCTGTGAGCAGTGTTGGCTACTTTAAACTTATTAAGGAATCACCTTAATAGGGGTGTTTTGGGCTGACATATTAAGGTCTAAATTACGCGTAATATATATGGTAGTTGGGTTACGTAAAGATGATGAGGCTGGCGGGGGGAGCGGTGTTGCGCCATTGATTCCTAGAAGTCTGCCCGCATACACAACGTTCAAGCTCATTACAAGTACATGATTATTGTCTATTGGAGTGTCTAATGAACACTTCCATGACTCAGAACGCCCTGTCTAGGTCCATCTCCTCATCCTGCTCCTCGTCGCTCTCGTCTTTCTCCCCAGTCTCACTGCCGTCCTCGTCATCACTGATTTCAACGACCTCTATAGTCTTGTGTGAGTATTCTGCCTCTTCGCTCAAGAACTGTGTGTCTTCCCGCGCCAAGATCTGGCCGATAGAGTCAGAAATGACAGCCACCTGCGACTTCTCAAAGGAAGTGCACTCGTCAAGCCCAAATAGCGTGGAGAGGGGGAGCTTTTCGAGGGTCGTGGTGGTGTCAGCTTCGTTCCCTCCTCTCTCATTGTCCAATTCGACGAACCACTCCCTCATCATCATATTCACCCCATCCTGGATCATCCTCTCCTCATAATCAGCCTCAACATCCTCCCAGTTGTCTCCACCCAAGACGCCTTGGTAGCGACGCTCCTCATCTGCCTCCCTCATCACCTCATCCCAATCCCCGATTTCCGCGACCTGGTTCCTCCTCCGCAAGACATCCAAGGGCGTCCACTTTGAGAGACCGGCATCCCCAACCCGTTCATTCATCTTCACCTTCTGCCCCTTCGCCTGCCCCTTCGCCAGCGGCTTGTCCTTCTTCGCCCTCTTCGCTCTTTGCTCCTGTAGCGCTGCCCTCTTTGCCTCCTCCTTCGTCGTTGTCATCTCAAGCAAAGACGCTCGAATGCGCGCGAGTTTTACAGCCTTGGAGGTGTGAAGGCGATTACGCTTTTTGGTGTGAATGTCCCCCATGAGGGAGAACAAACGCTCGCACGCGGCGCTGTTGGGAACGGCGGCGAAGAGACGGAGGGTAAGACGGATGAGGGGGCTGGAGACACTGTTCCCCAGCAGGCGCCAGATCCCCGCTGGATCAAGAGGGCTGTTGTTCCTCTTTGCCTTCTCAGCTTCCCCCTGAAGATCGAACACAGCATTGGTATAGCGGCGGAGGTTGGGGTCAGGCTTTCGGTGGTAGTACGCCGACCATTCCTCGCTCAGATGATCAAGTGTCTGATGCGAAGTCTCCTCAGGAAAGAAGCGTATCCAGAGAGACTTGATCAAGGCGTATGACATGTTCCCAGGAAGAGCGTTGTTGCTGATGCCCACCCGCGTAAGCCCGAAGAAGGGGTTCAAGAGAGCGCATGCAATGAAGACATCTTGATCAGCCGCCGCCCATCTCTTCTCCAGGCTCTGGATGATGATGGCAGCAGCGTCACGTACAAAGCGGGAGCCCAAGGTTTGGAGGGGGACAAAGTGGGTATAGAGCTTGCCGAACTCAAAGAAGACCATGTCGAGGGTGGTGGTATTGGCTTGTAGGACGTATGTGGAGATGGTGAGGGGACTTAGGATAGTGATGAGATCGTCGAGACCGTCCCAGAAGCTCTTTTCAAGGGCAATGTCCAACACTGTCTGAGCAGTCTGGCGGTTCTTGGTACCCGCCCCTGCCATGCCCATGACCTTGCTGTGCATGTTGAAGCACACGCTGTGGAGGGCAGCCTTCCATTGGCGAAGATGGCAGGCGGCAGCCCAGTGAGAGGTCCACCTTGTAGGGGCAGGATGGATGAAGGTGGTTGGGCCGAATTTTGGGTCATCTCTGCGCGCTTGGGAGAGGAGGAGGGACATAGCCTTGCTGTGATTGGTGAACCACACGATTACAGCGAGCATCCGCTGAGAGATGTCCTTCAGGTAAGGAGAGCCTTTGAAGATATTGCCAACAACCAAATTGAGCTGGGAGCATTCAATGTCAGTTTTGACTCTTGGTCATGATTGTCAGGCCCTTGGAAGGGATAACTCACTTGGTGAGCAAAACACTTTTCAATGGTGAGCTGCGGCCTCTTCGCCAGCAGAGACTTCCTGGCTTTGCGCATGTCCCCTCCATCATCTGAGATCACCGCGACGACCTCGATACCCTTCTTCCCCAACATCTCTATCTCATCCTCGATCAACAGCAATGCCGCATCTCCCGTCTTGTCCTTGCTGGTGGTGTTATGAACAGAGAAGACGTACGACTGACGAAGATCTTTATCAGCAGTCTTCGAGATAATAACGTTAATGTGAGGCTCACCTTTCCCTCGCATGTGGCCACAAAGGCAAATAGATGGTCGCGAGCGCAATTGTTCCACCCGTCCAACAAAAGTGTAACCATCTTCCCCTTCAACGCTTCCTCAACTTCCTTCATCACTTCCTGATCCTTCTTGGTCAACAACCTACCAGAAAGGTCCTTACGCGAGGGGATCTTAAAGCCCGGGGAGAGCTGTTGGAGGACGTCAACAATGATGGGATTCTTGATTGCGTTGAAGGATGAGCCCATGCCGCAGACGAGATTAAACAAAAGGTCGTTGAGCTTCTGCTGGGCTTGAGGGGTGACCTTCATCTCCACGCGCTCAAAGATGCTCTGGACCTCGTGAATGGCGGGGCGCTTGTTGCTGGCCGGGGTTTTAGCGGCGAGGAAGTGGGGGCACTTGTCGAGGTGGTTGTAAGCAGTGGCCTGCTTTCCACGACTTAGTCGTTTCGAGTCGCGGTTCGGCGATCGCCGCCTCCCGCGACTTAACCATTTTCAGCCGCGTTTCGGCGAACGCCGCCTCTCGCGACTTAACCATCTCCAGCCGCGTTTCGGAACCAAATCTTCCGGAACCAATTCTGCTCGCGTCTTGGCTATCGCCGACGCTCACGACGCCACTTGTGTTATTGCCGTTTCCCCGCTTGTCTCTGTTACGTGTTGTTTGCCACTTTCGGCTCTTCGGCCAAAGGTATCTTGTGTGGTTCGTTCGGTGAGATTGTGTGTTTCGTTTGCGACTGTCCTTGCGCAGGGACAGAGTACTTGGGGGCATGGAATTGTATCTCTTTCTCCATCGCCCTTTCATCTCTGTCCCAGTGCGTATCTCTTCTTGTTCTCGATGGTCACCTGGACTGACTTGAGCCAGTTCCCATTTCCCTTATCTTCAGCGTTCCTCAGTTCATATATTGATCGTTCTCGTCCAGGTGAGCCTTGTCCTTATTGTATCTCTTTCTCCATCGCCCTTTCATCTCTGTCCCAGTGCGTATCTCTTCTTGTTCTCGATGGTCACCTGGACTGACTTGAGCCAGTTCCCATTTCCCTTATCTTCAGCGTTCCTCAGTTCATATATTGATCGTTCTCGTCCAGGTGAGCCTTGTCCTTGTTGTATCTCTTTCTCTATCGCCCTTTCATCTCTGTCCCATTCCCATTTCCCTTATCTTCTGCGTTCCTCAGTTCATATATTGATCGTTCTCGTCCAGGTGAGCCTTGTCCTTGTTGTATCTCTTTCTCATCGCCCTTTCATCTCTGTCCCATTCCCATTTCCCTTATCTTCTGCGTTCCTCAGTTCATATATTGATCGTTCTCGTCCAGGTGAGCCTTGTCCTTGTTGTATCTCTTTCTCATCGCCCTTTCATCTCTGTCCCATTCCCATTTCCCTTATCTTCTGCGTTCCTCAGTTCATATATTGATCGTTCTCGTCCAGGTGAGCCTTGTCCTTGTTGTATCTCTTTCTCATCGCCCTTTCATCTCTGTCCCATTCCCATTTCCCTTATCTTCTGCGTTCCTCAGTTCATATATTGATCGTTCTCGTCCAGGTGAGCCTTGTCCTTGTTGTATCTCTTTCTCATCGCCCTTTCATCTCTGTCCCATTCCCATTTCCCTTATCTTCTGCGTTCCTCAGTTCATATATTGATCGTTCTCGTCCAGGTGAGCCTTGTCCTTGTTGTATCTCTTTCTCATCGCCCTTTCATCTCTGTCCCATTCCCATTTCCCTTATCTTCTGCGTTCCTCAGTTCATATATTGATCGTTCTCGTCCAGGTGAGCCTTGTCCTTGTTGTATCTCTTTCTCATCGCCCTTTCATCTCTGTCCCATTCCCATTTCCCTTATCTTCTGCGTTCCTCAGTTCATATATTGATCGTTCTCGTCCAGGTGAGCCTTGTCCTTGTTGTATCTCTTTCTCATCGCCCTTTCATCTCTGTCCCATTCCCATTTCCCTTATCTTCTGCGTTCCTCAGTTCATATATTGATCGTTCTCGTCCAGGTGAGCCTTGTCCTTGTTGTATCTCTTTCTCATCGCCCTTTCATCTCTGTCCCATTCCCATTTCCCTTATCTTCTGCGTTCCTCAGTTCATATATTGATCGTTCTCGTCCAGGTGAGCCTTGTCCTTGTTGTATCTCTTTCTCATCGCCCTTTCATCTCTGTCCCATTCCCATTTCCCTTATCTTCTGCGTTCCTCAGTTCATATATTGATCGTTCTCGTCCAGGTGAGCCTTGTCCTTGTTGTATCTCTTTCTCATCGCCCTTTCATCTCTGTCCCATTCCCATTTCCCTTATCTTCTGCGTTCCTCAGTTCATATATTGATCGTTCTCGTCCAGGTGAGCCTTGTCCTTGTTGTATCTCTTTCTCATCGCCCTTTCATCTCTGTCCCATTCCCATTTCCCTTATCTTCTGCGTTCCTCAGTTCATATATTTTATCAGCATCTCCTCCGAGACTCAGACGAGCCTCTTGGCGAGCAGGAGGTAAAGGGGATACTGATGGCCGGGTTAGGCTCTCAATATCTCCTCCGAGAGGTTAGGCGGGCCATCGACCGCAAGCAGTGGACCCTTCGGTCAATGCCTCTCCACATTCTGATTGAGTTAATGTCGGAGACAGTCGACGACTGTGCCAACCAAGCGATTTATCAAAGCCAGTATGCAGCTCCCCATCCCCCTCCCCGCCAACAAGCACAGCGACCTGCCCCAGCTCCCCCCTCTCGCCCCGTCACACTCAACGCCATCTCTACCGCGCCCAGTATGCCATCCCAGGTGGACGCACACCGTTGGCTCGACGCTGCTATCCGCCTGCCCGCCGGCACCGAAGGTACCCAAGCCCGGGACTACCTTAGGCAGCGAGGTCTCTGTTATAGGTGTCGTCAACACGGACACATGTCTTTCGGCTGTCCCACAGCTTCCCAGCAAGTCGCGTCGTTGTCCCCGGTCCCCGTCCCCGCCGCTGCCCCTGTCCTTGCCCCCGCCCAGGCCCCTGCTCCCGCCTCTGCCACTACCCCAGGCCCTGCCCCCTCGTCAGTCCCACTTCTCCTCGTTAATGCGCGTCTCAACGCGGATGGTCCCCTGTACCAGACGCTCGTAGACTCTGGCGCCGCTGTAAACGTTGTAGATGAAAAGCTGGTTGAAGAACTCGGGTTGGAGACTGTGAAAATGCTGCCCATAACAACGAAGATGGCCGATGAATCTTGTGGACCTAAGATCACTCAGAAAATTGTCATGGAGGTGCATGTCGGCAGTATCGTCTATCCTGAGTCGCCTTTCGTGGTTATGCCCCTTGGTCCTGCCAATCGCATGATCCTCGGTCTCCCCTTCCATCTACAGCATCGGTTGCTTGCAGGCGCGTCTGGGTTGGAGGTATTGTTGGAAGAGGGAAAGGCAAAGAGGCGAGACGAGAAAGATGGAGAAGTGGTGGTGGGATCTGGCGCGGCGCGTATCAGCGAGGTGTCCTTGGAGTTGGCATCCGAGCTGGTGACCCAGCGCAAAGAACTCACTGCCCAGCTGCTCTCGGACTTTGCAGACATCCTCCCTCCTCAGTTGACCGATGTTGCCCATTATCCCAAGCCGACGTCGTCAGACTCACAAGTACGCCACCACATCAATGTTCTCCCCGACACCAAGCCCGTCGCTCGCCCTTATTATCGTCTCCCTCTCGCGTTCCGCAGTGCGTTCAAGGCTGAGATAGATAAGCACGTGGATGCTGGACGTTTGCGTACCTCCAGCTCGCCGTGGGCTGCCCCGGCGTTTTTGATCCAGAAGGACAACGGCAAATTCCGCTTTTTGTGCGATTACCGAGGTCTGAACGCTGTGACGGTCAAAGACAGTACGCCAGTGCCATCGGTCGAAGACATCTTGCAGAGGGCGGCTCGTGGAAAGGTGTTTGCCAAGCTGGACTTGACGGATGCGTTTTTTCAGACGCTTATGCACAAGCCGGATATTGAGAAGACGGCGATCGCCACTCCGTGGGGTTTGTACGAGTGGGTGGTTATGCCGCAGGGCGCATGCAATTCGCCAGCTACGCAGCAGAGGAGGCTCAACGAGGCCTTGCGAGGCCTGCTCAGCGAGTGCTGCGAGGCCTATGTCGACGATATCATCATCTGGGCAGACGATGACGTGTCATTGGACACCCGCGTCCGCCAAGTCCTTGCCGCGCTCCAGAAAGCTGGTTTTGTCTGTTCCCCATCCAAGTCCCAGTTTTTCCTGGATGAAGCTCCCTTCCTCGGTCACACCATCTCAGAGAACCATATCGGCCCCGACCCCAAGAAGATTGAGACGCTTATGCAGTGGCCCGCCCCGACAACCGTCAAGCAGCTTCGGTCTTTCATCGGCCTCCTGAACTACGTCAGAAAATTCATCCCCCATCTCGCTGCCCCCCTCTCGGTCCTCACCGCCCTCATCCCTCCCAACAAGACAGCAGAGAAGGCGTATACGGCATACATGAAGAAGAAAGAGAAGGGCGAGGAGGTCTCTGAGGACGGTTTGGCGTGGAGTTGGGATTGGTCGGTGAAGGCGGATAAGGCATTCGAGGAGTGCAAGGGTCTCCTTGCCCAGATCACGGGGTTAGTGCCATTGGACTACGACGCAGTAAAGCGCGGTGAGTTGCAGGTTTATCTCCACACGGACGCCAGCAACACTGGGATTGGCGCGTGGCTTGGTGCGGGCAATCTCCCCGATGCCCTTGCCCCCATTGCCTATTTCTCCCGCTCGCTTATCCCAGCAGAAACTCGTTACCCTGTACACGACAAGGAGATGCTGGCGATTGTCGAGGCGTTGAAGGAATGGCGCCCACTCCTCTTGGGAATCCCGGTCAAGGTCATGACGGACCACGCGACCCTCCGGCATTTTTTTACTCAGCCTACCCTTTCAGATCGTCAGAAGCGTTGGTCCGAGGTGCTTAACGACTACGACTTGCAGATTCACTATATCCCGGGGGTCACGAACGACGTTGCCGACGCACTATCCCGCATTCCCCATGCCCCTCTTCAATCATCTGCCTCCCTCATCACCTCATCCCAATCCCCGATTTCCGCGACCTGGTTCCTCCTCCGCAAGACATCCAAGGGCGTCCACTTTGAGAGACCGGCATCCCCAACCCGTTCATTCATCTTCACCTTCTGCCCCTTCGCCTGCCCCTTCGCCAGCGGCTTGTCCTTCTTCGCCCTCTTCGCTCTTTGCTCCTGTAGCGCTGCCCTCTTTGCCTCCTCCTTCGTCGTTGTCATCTCAAGCAAAGACGCTCGAATGCGCGCGAGTTTTACAGCCTTGGAGGTGTGAAGGCGATTACGCTTTTTGGTGTGAATGTCCCCCATGAGGGAGAACAAACGCTCGCACGCGGCGCTGTTGGGAACGGCGGCGAAGAGACGGAGGGTAAGACGGATGAGGGGGCTGGAGACACTGTTCCCCAGCAGGCGCCAGATCCCCGCTGGATCAAGAGGGCTGTTGTTCCTCTTTGCCTTCTCAGCTTCCCCCTGAAGATCGAACACAGCATTGGTATAGCGGCGGAGGTTGGGGTCAGGCTTTCGGTGGTAGTACGCCGACCATTCCTCGCTCAGATGATCAAGTGTCTGATGCGAAGTCTCCTCAGGAAAGAAGCGTATCCAGAGAGACTTGATCAAGGCGTATGACATGTTCCCAGGAAGAGCGTTGTTGCTGATGCCCACCCGCGTAAGCCCGAAGAAGGGGTTCAAGAGAGCGCATGCAATGAAGACATCTTGATCAGCCGCCGCCCATCTCTTCTCCAGGCTCTGGATGATGATGGCAGCAGCGTCACGTACAAAGCGGGAGCCCAAGGTTTGGAGGGGGACAAAGTGGGTATAGAGCTTGCCGAACTCAAAGAAGACCATGTCGAGGGTGGTGGTATTGGCTTGTAGGACGTATGTGGAGATGGTGAGGGGACTTAGGATAGTGATGAGATCGTCGAGACCGTCCCAGAAGCTCTTTTCAAGGGCAATGTCCAACACTGTCTGAGCAGTCTGGCGGTTCTTGGTACCCGCCCCTGCCATGCCCATGACCTTGCTGTGCATGTTGAAGCACACGCTGTGGAGGGCAGCCTTCCATTGGCGAAGATGGCAGGCGGCAGCCCAGTGAGAGGTCCACCTTGTAGGGGCAGGATGGATGAAGGTGGTTGGGCCGAATTTTGGGTCATCTCTGCGCGCTTGGGAGAGGAGGAGGGACATAGCCTTGCTGTGATTGGTGAACCACACGATTACAGCGAGCATCCGCTGAGAGATGTCCTTCAGGTAAGGAGAGCCTTTGAAGATATTGCCAACAACCAAATTGAGCTGGGAGCATTCAATGTCAGTTTTGACTCTTGGTCATGATTGTCAGGCCCTTGGAAGGGATAACTCACTTGGTGAGCAAAACACTTTTCAATGGTGAGCTGCGGCCTCTTCGCCAGCAGAGACTTCCTGGCTTTGCGCATGTCCCCTCCATCATCTGAGATCACCGCGACGACCTCGATACCCTTCTTCCCCAACATCTCTATCTCATCCTCGATCAACAGCAATGCCGCATCTCCCGTCTTGTCCTTGCTGGTGGTGTTATGAACAGAGAAGACGTACGACTGACGAAGATCTTTATCAGCAGTCTTCGAGATAATAACGTTAATGTGAGGCTCACCTTTCCCTCGCATGTGGCCACAAAGGCAAATAGATGGTCGCGAGCGCAATTGTTCCACCCGTCCAACAAAAGTGTAACCATCTTCCCCTTCAACGCTTCCTCAACTTCCTTCATCACTTCCTGATCCTTCTTGGTCAACAACCTACCAGAAAGGTCCTTACGCGAGGGGATCTTAAAGCCCGGGGAGAGCTGTTGGAGGACGTCAACAATGATGGGATTCTTGATTGCGTTGAAGGATGAGCCCATGCCGCAGACGAGATTAAACAAAAGGTCGTTGAGCTTCTGCTGGGCTTGAGGGGTGACCTTCATCTCCACGCGCTCAAAGATGCTCTGGACCTCGTGAATGGCGGGGCGCTTGTTGCTGGCCGGGGTTTTAGCGGCGAGGAAGTGGGGGCACTTGTCGAGGTGGTTGTAAGCAGTGGCCTGCTTTCCACGACTTGGTCGTTTCGCGCCGCCTCTCGTGACTTAACCATTTTCAGCCGCGTTTCGGCGAACGCCGCCTCTCGCGACTTAACCATCTCCAGCCGCGTTTTGGAACCAAATCTTCCGGAACCAATTCTGCTCGCGTCTTGGCTATCGCCGACGCTCACGACGCCACTTGTGTTATTGCCGTTTCCCCGCTTGTCTCTGTTACGTGTTGTTTGCCACTTTCGGCTCTTCGGCCGAAGGTATCTTGTGTGGTTCGTTCGGTGAGATTTTCCCATTTCCCTTATCTTCTGCGTTCCTCAGTTCATATATTGATCGTTCTCGTCCAGTTTACATGCACAAGGGGTTTTGTTTGCTTCTCTCGACGACAAGTAGACCACCGACGCCGACCCAGTGAAGAGTTAGACGCCTAACTCTTACAGTGGTTGAGCATGCGTTCGCCAACGCCACCAACAGGCTCGACAAGGGAGAGGGCTGATTGAAGAACAATGTCAGCTCATGAATGAGATTTCTTTGAAGTGAAGTAAGTGAACTCACCTTTGTAGTGGATAGCCATCCTCTGCACATCCGTGTTGACTGAGCCCATTTTGGCTACCTCCGCATTCAACTCCTCCGACGGCTTCCACTGTCCAGATTTGATGATGCCCTGCAAGATCTCCTTCTTCGCCTTGACACAGGCCTTACAAAATGCATTGTAGTGTGATTTGTTTTTCATGACAAAGAGCTTGAGCTCCCCCTTACCCTCTGTGGCCAGCTCAATGACAATAGATGTTGTGACACCTTCGAGCCTGTGGAAATGCTCCCACTCGGGTTTGGAGACGGGCCTGCCGGTTATGAAAGTGGACATTGTGCGTTCTGTAGGAATAGATAGTGTGATGGTTGATTCCTCTTGGAAGGTAAGATGTACTAGATTGGGAGAAGCAAGATGAACACAACAGAGGGGGCGTGCCGCAAGATGCGACGCGCCCACCCGCTGGCCGCCACCGCAGAAATCTGGTCACAGTGCTCTCTCTGCGCCGGCTGCCGCTGGTGCACTCTCGGCGGCCACGCTGACCAGTTTGGCTAAGGCGTCTCCGTTCGACCTCCCAGGATTGATGCGCCGCGCCCATACAAATTTCGCCTCAGATTTGGCTTCTTGCAGACTTCTAACAGCCTTTTGTATGCACCACGATCTTTTGATGACTTTCTCTTTTCTACAGAGCATTTTTAAAGTTCCCAGTAATCCTCCGGTATAGCTGATTTCTGACTTCATCATGCATGGCTTGAGATAAACCCAAAAGACCTTTGCGCACCTCCTTGAACCGGCGTGCGTCCACTAAGAATACCTATTGTCTCTCTTGACATATCCTCTTCCCATTACATGCATTGCGCTTCCTTGCTTTTGAATTCTTCAGAGAGGTAGAGAGGCTAAACCTTTCCCCTAGCGCTCAGAGGTCACTTGGTGAGGACACTTGTTCGCTATCAGAAACTCATCTCACAAAACATGTCACGCGTTGAACCCTTGATGTCTTGTAGCGCCTGCGTGATGCAACACAGGCAATGAGCATCTTCTGTTTCCACAGGACTCATAGTGCCCATTACTTCAATCATACCTGACTTGCTGCACGCGACTGGAGGACGCACGGTACATCCAAGCAATTGGGATGCTATTCCCCCCTTTTCTCCACAACACGCCACAATGTCGCCTCTTCCCATCATTCTTCATTGCCGCTCCATTTCCTTTTATCCAAAATAGTCTGTCACTTCCAGATCGCAATCCCAGAATGTAGATCCCTTGAAGTTCACATAAGTAGCAACCATTGTACATTGCTCATACTCATACAACAAAGCATACTCATACAACACCTCTTCACTTCTCGCTACCAAGTCTCCACTCATCCAAAATAAAATCCTGTAATTCCTCATTCCAAGCCAGAGCTGCGAAGCGGACGCGATTTTCGTGATAAAGTCGCTCTAAGTCTTCCATTCCCTGCCGCTCGCTTTCAGTCATATTCTGCTCACGCTCCACCGCCTCATTCAACATCACCTTCACTCTGTACCCGTTCATCCGCCTTTCCGTCTTCTTCACCTTCCCTTCTGGTGCCACCTTATCCAGGAAAGGGTTGTTATCCTTGCCTACAGGCGGCGCAGTCGGGTAGGGGATTAACCTCGTTCTCAGCAGTAAGCCGTCATCGCAATGGTGCTTGGCGTGATTCATACTCTTGCTAGCATGACAAGTTTTGACTTTTCGGCACCGGCGGCATATGTTGTCCTTGGCGGGGCATCCGGTTGCTGTTATCCGCTTCCTGCTTGAATTCACCGGTGCGATCCATTTGATCTGCATGGCCCAAAAGTGTGAAAGGGTTCCTAAAAGACAATCAGCGTACTGATTGCCTGACAACGCCGAGCGGAGAGACCAGAGAACGTCAAAGATCATTTGGCACTCACTACCAACCAGTCGCGACCGCCTCCGCCATCTTCCTTCTAAGTGTCCCTTCAATTTTCCTACATTCCTCCCTTAGATAGCTTCCGTGTCAAGGCCCATCACCCGGAGGCTGTCCGTAATGGGTGATATAGTGATGGGGGTTGAGTTCAAGGTTCGGGTTGTTATACTGCCTGGCCGCCTCTTCCCACTCTCTCAAGTCGGCAGCTGAGTCCCATCTGAACATCAGCCGCAAAGCTACTACGCAGCTTGGGTCAGGTGGCAAAAAGACTGGAACACGCAAAGTGCTCACAGATACAAAAGTATTCGGTGCCCTTGCGCTTTTCCTTCTGGAGGGAGCTTACAGTACTTGCACTGTACAAGGCCTCGGACCGAGATAGCCCTGCGGCACCGTTTCTGCGGGTTCCAAGCGAGCTAGAGCCAGCGATAATAGCCAACGCATTTCCCCCAACAGCTGCGGGGGCCAGAAGACCCTGAGAAACTGATGAGGCCTTCAAGAACATAGAAGTAGCGACGGACGCCATTGTAGGAAGGGTCGCAGCGATGGTTGATGAGCCTGGGTGGTCTGGATGGCTGATAGAGGACGATATCGGAAGAGTGGACGTTGATGAAGATGGGAGGGAAGACGTTGCTGAAGAAGGAAGGGAAGATGTTGATGAAGATGGAAGGGGGGGGATTGGAGAAGCATTGGGATGGAGTGAAGCTTGTGCTGGATATGATAAGTTATTATCGGTCACAAAAAGACTGACAACTGGTCAGTAGCAGTTGGAGATACGCATAGGCAATAAGAACTCTGCTCACCGTCGTGCAACACACCAACTGTCATCTTCGTAGTAAGGGCCGTCTGTATACGGCTGTGAGCACTTCCTGGATCGAGGAGTGCGTCCGTCAACTGGTTGCTCCTGCAAGTAAATGTCGAGTCAGAAAAACAGCAAAAGAGATAAATCTATGAGGCAACACTCACATAGGGATTGATATCCTGGTCGGCCTCGCTGTTGATTGTGGTACCCAAGAACATCATGTTGAAGCCGTGCTTGTCGCTCTCTTCCTCTTCGATACCCTCCATGTCGTTCTCATCATCTATTATCTGAAGCTCAGCCTCAGCCTCCTCCAGCTCTCGGTTGATAGCAGCAAATCCCTGGACGGATCGCCGTAGATCCCTTAGCGCCTGATCGCTGGGATCACAAGAAGGTACCACTCCAAAGACATGTGAAGGGCATATGTCCGGCAGACGTGGCTGTGTAGCTCCGTAGAGTGCATGTCAAAGTTGCAGGATGTCATCGAGCAGGAAGATGTGATGGCTCCCCAAGGTGGCCGCGCGAAACATCCTTGACATTGAGTCTGGCGATTGGGAATGATTTGTGATGGTAATCTTGAGATTGCTTTGTAGGACAGCGTCACCCACCAAGAAGACAACAGTGGGGAGACTTGACGCCATGCCCCGTACCGTATTGTTGATCCTCTTGTGCCAAGACTTGTTGATACTGGTGTTGGATATAAGATGCGGATGACGGCGTTGAAGACAACCAGCCCGGATATGGTTCATCTGATTATTGATGGCCTGGATATGGTATCAGTCGTGTTGTATCCTGTGGTTGGATTCCCATCACTTACAGGAACCAGGTTCGTTCTCACTTTGAGCGGGACATAGTTGCGCATCATTCGCTCCTTCATCTCATCCATCCTACGGACCTGCTCCTCAACTGGGCGATAAACAGTGGGCGTACCCTTCTCTCCCTTTCGCTCAACCAAAGCATCGTTGAGTGCAACAGAGACGGCTCCTCTTTACTGTGCTTGCTCCGGGATAGTGCGCAGCATGCGCTGCTTGAGGTGATAATAGTCTTGGACAACACTCACGTCACGCAGCTCGCTGGTGATGCTGGATTGGAAGTTGCAGCACTTGTCAACGGCTACCTCTCCCTGTCGAGTGAAGTCAATGCCGAGGGCGGCCAAACGCTCCGCGTATTCCGCCAGAGGTGCTTGTAGATAGACCGCCGAATTGGTAGGGAGGAACTCCTATAAAGAAAGGTCAGTGAGATCCTATTACTGCAGTGGCGGTTGATTGAAAAAAGACATACCCAAAATACGAGCTCCTGGTCTTCGTTCACCCTGGTCAGAAGACCACCACCCCATGGGTTGATGGACTCGATAGCCCCTGAGTGATGCCTGCCAACAACGTTCGCTTTATTGGCGACCTTCATAGTCAAGTCCACACCGACTATCAAGCCTTTCAAATTGGCGCACAATGACATCAGCTTATGGGCTGTGTGAGGGAGATAGAATGATCATGTACCTCCCAAACTTCTCATGTACCTTGAACTTTCCTCCAGACGCTGTACACCGAATATCTCATATGCATGTCGAACGAGGCCTGCAGATGGCACCTTCAATCTTGACTGATCCACCGAGGGAAAGCTAGCTATATCCCCTATTGGCAATGAGGTTTGATGTTGCTGCTGTTGTTGATAAAGAAGGTAAAAATCTCTCTTGGTCTCTTGTGCGCTTTGAATATGCATCTCTGGAGGAATAGTCAGACCATGAATTAGATGAATAAGCAGATATGGCAAAAGCTACTCACACTTAAGGCCCTCAACGACCGCCTCAACTGACGACTTGGGCCGGAATTTGGCGATGAGTTTGAATAGCTCGCAAGTCATTGCAGCCTGTTCAAAGAAGAGGGGAAACTTGCCTATGGTCAATGTAGATCAGCGTCCTAGAATAGATAGATTTGCGCTTTTGCTTACCCATTTCCCATGGCTTGCGACCTTTCCAAAACCCCGGCGCGGTGGGCGAGAACACCTTATGCTGTGAGCAGTACATCTGCTCCCCTATCGCCTTCACATTGCCAAAGATGCCATAGAGAGAGCGAACGTGCGTCCAGCCCTTCTTCTTGACACTTCCTGTACAATTAGGGGCAGGACATTTGTTCAGCCCCATCATTGGACAGAAGAGGGAATGTAAGATGAGCACAGGCTCCAGGAGAGCGGTGTCGGCTTGAGACTCAAAGGCTTTGCCGTGAAGCCAGAGATTGGTATGGGTGGGGGGAGTGAAAAGAGGGCCGTGTTGGGGAAAGCCGGGGGGGGGGCGTTTGGTAGGGCGCTTGGCATCCATCTGTCACAAGATGTCAGTCACTGACAACCCATCCGAATATTTTGGAACTCACTTGACTGGCATGCACCCTTTCCAGGACTGAGATGTACTCCAAGACGCCAGCAATGAACTTCATTTCGGCTGGACTGCAGTCTCCACCCGGATTGAGGGCTCTGGCTCTATTGTCAATGGCTCTCTGCAATAGCGCTCCTCCCTCCCAGTTCACGACCCACGCGTTTGAGTTCTTCTTCCTCCGTGACTTGTTGGGCAATCGTTCACGTCCTTTGCAGCAGTGCTGAGCTGCTCTCAAACATCTTCAATGATGAAGCAGATTGGGATGCATGTGATGGGAATAGTGACGGATGGATGATGAGTTGGAGGCAAAAAGGAATCAGAGGCGAGTTCAAGGCAAAACAGAAATGAGTAGTATGCATGCGTAGGGCCGGCGGCCAGGGCGGGGGGGGCCAAACTGACCAGCTCTGACCAGATTCCAACCAGATTTGATGCCACGACTTAATTTATCTGAGGCGCAGCGCAGGGGGCAGAGCGTGACCAGGTTGCTGCCACCGCGTCTCCAGGACCACGAATGCCCCGGATAACACCATTTTCGGCGTCCTTCAGTTGCCCCGGACTCTGGCCGCCCTAAGGGCATTGTTTGCACTTATTAAGGCTTTTTAAAGGTGCATTTTCTGCCCCGACTTATTAAGCTAACGTAATATACCTTAATAAGTCAAATCCTTAAACTGTTTAATAAGGTTTTGCCAACACTGCCTGTGAGTAGCAAGCTTTTTCTTCCAATGCTATGTTGGATTGCTTCGATACATACTTGAGCTTGATAGGTGACTTTGTTGGCCAGCTTGTCAACCCCTGTCCTTCTGGTACGCACATATGTCTCTTAAGACAATGTTTACTAACCAAAACGTAGTGGATCCACAAGCTTCCTTGCTGGCATCCTCACAGCCCTCTCGACCGGTGTGCTCTTCCAGACTGCCTCGACTGGTGTGCTCTTTACAACTCACCCGACCAGCATCCGGTCCTCTCTTGTGAGTGCTCTGCCTTTTGTGTAACAGGTGCCAGGCCAAAGAGGGAGGAGCAGGCAGGCAGGCAGGGGAGGGCGCGCAGAGAGGGCAAGCAGGGAGGGTTGTGAACAAATAGATGTTCTGTAGATGTCTGATGCAGCTTGTCTAAATGTCATTTTGATATCTGCAACAGCTGCATACAATGTCCACCAGACATTCTAACACACCCTTGAGAATATTGTTATAATGTTTTTCTGGTACCCCAGGAAAATATCAAGGCAACATTGGCAACAGCTGTATGGTGACGTCCACCAGACATTCTGACATACCCTTGAAAATATCCATATGATGTTTTTGGAAACTGCCATCAAAATGTCTGTGTGACATGTGGACGCCAAAATGTCTGCGCGACATTGGAATCAATCACTTAGATCACATCATACAGACATCCGCGCGCAGTGATATCCACAGGACATTTGAACTGACCAGCGGTGTAGTGCATAAACAATCCACTGGTAGTGAGCTTTCTTTCCTTTGCATACCTGCTTCTCTTTTGGCAATTCCATTCCCTGTCAGTGCATGAAATCACTAAATGTGACTTGTGATATCTATGACAGAAAATGACGTTTAGTATGCAACAATGTTACAGTGGCTTCAGCTTGTGACATGAAGGGTACAAAGGCAATTACTTCACATAACTCCACAGCAAAATAGTGTTCTTGTGAGTGTGAAGCTATATCAGAGAGCTCCTTGTACTTGTAGCCATAGAAGGGGTAGTTTTGAGCCTCAATCAAAGTTATGGCATATGCAACATTTGATTCAGAAGCAAGATGAAAATAACCTTGCTGAACCAAGCTCAAAACAATCTCGAACTCCAATTGAATAGGGATCAATCATTTTGTCCTGGTTAAGTTTTTGTTGGCCTCAACCTAAGCTGAGATTGTTTTTGGCCATCAAGGTTCAAGATCAAAACAAACTGGCCTGTTCCCAATAGTGGGGGTGAAGTTGGGTCATCTTAGTCTTTTTTGGCTACTGAGCCATATATCTGTGAAGAGGGAAAGATGAGTAAGCTAGAGGCTCAAGACATATATATAAGTACATAGCATTCCATAGATTTGAGGCTCCTTAGCAACATTGACATCTGACTTGCCTTGCCTATGAGAAGGACTTAGTGAACAGATACAGAGACCATCTTGAACTGAAACACCTCACTACCCTTCAGACAACACTGACAAAGATGGGTGATTATGGGACAACACACCACAAATAGATCCAGGCTTAGGGGCAAACATGGTCTTTCCAAAGCTTGTGCTGTTGACATACTTGTACAGTACTCATATCTGCAACAATCCTGATGACATGGCAATCACGGATAACGCGCATGTTTATTCTTCCCATAGATTTCTATCTTCCATTCCATGTACCTGGACAATGGCTGATGCAATCGACTTGGCAGTCCAATACAAGCAAGCACATCCCAAGAGAGCTTCAACAAGGCAGCCAATTGATTCAAGGTCGCTTCTTTCATTCTCAATGATTGATATCACAAAAAAAAACACGCCTCACATTCCACCTGCCACCAACAACCCTTGCAAGCTAAGCTCTCTGTCATACAAGAGAAGCAGTTAGTTGACAAATTCCCGTTGCACTCTCTAATTCTGCTATTAATCCTATTCCACTAACTTGCATTGCTTCACTTGTACTATGTTATGCCAGAGCACTATTGTATAATGCTCTTAATATTCAAGGTATTGGAGAAGGAACATGTATTCCGACTGTGGTATCCTCCTGACCCCGGCAAACATAAGAGAACTTGGGCAAGCTCTCCATAGCCATCCCCTGGGCAAGAGATGGGGCCCAGCCTTTGTCAAGTGATGTTGTGTTGACTTGAACTCAAAACTCTATGGCTACACCGGAGCCAGCCACCAAGATGCAAATATGAGCAAGAACTGTGGTGCCTCTCCCAGAAGCATTTCTGATGCATCTATAGCTCCAAGGACTGTATGATAGTAAAGTCTATTGCCCATTGTGTATCTACAACATGGACAAGTGCGGTTTTGACCTGGGGGCCAATGTCAGGTCCTACCCACAGTGTCCCTATAGCTGTCCAGCAGTATAAAGTATCTCTTGACTAAATGAAGAAAAGGGGCTGTCTATGTATATGTATATGTCAATTCCAATCAACAATATACGCATATGTGTTGGGACCTGATCAGCAAGGCTATCTTGGACTTGATAGGGGCTTGCACTAACCTAAGGCTGATGACTTCCTGTCGGCTTAGCTAGTATAGTTTGAATAGGCCTGTTCGCTTGCAATTCCTAGTTCATAGGCAAGTCAGATGTATTCAAGGTCGCTGGGATCCTCGAATCTATGTAAAACTATCGACTTATATAGATATCCAGAGCCCTACTGGCTTACTCAGCTTTCCCATATTCACCACCCAACTGACTAAGCCATTCTCTTGGCTTGCTGCGCTTTCTCATGAGTTGCTATGGAAATAAGTTCTAGAATTGCTAAGGCTCGTGATATCTTGGAAGCAGACTCTATGTAAAGAAATTGTCTCTACATTACAGAGTAGTTGGGCGTCTCTTGAGTCGTAATTGGGGTGAGGAAGAATGAGGGTGCTCGGGTGTCTAGGTCTTGGTTGGAGATAGGTATTGGGTTGAGTCGGAGTTGGTTGTGTCTTAGAGATGAATTGCTGTGTAAGTGGGGTGATAGCAATGTCCCTAGATATGCGTAGCTCCTGGTACAATATGATGGTTGTGATGTACCGGAATAAACAAGAGGGGTGTCTCAAACAAGGAAGTAACGATGAGTGTTGAGTGATGAGTGTCGCAACGCATCCAGCTCAATAGGTATTTACATAATAAAGCGTGTGATGATGCGGAAGCTGGGGTGCGGTCATTGACAGCCAAGTGCATTGTGTGCAGGGTCACTTGGAAGCACCACCCAAAGGATGCACAGAAATCCCCACCCACTAGCAACCACATTGTTGTCATCACCTGTATTGGCATGACCTCCGCTCCTGTGCCACTGGGGTGTTTTGGGCCTGGCATCAAGAAACATGGACAAAGATTGCCACCAATAGGCAGATCAGGTCAGCGTGGGTAAAGGTAAGTCTCTGGCCCTCAGTGCTGAAATCATCCTTGGCAAAGTCAATGATTGTTCTACTCCGCCACCCAAGGCCTCCCAACCTGCACCACCCTCCCCTAGAACCCCTCTTGGTTCCTGACAGATCAACACTGCACTTTGAAACATGGAGCTGGACCCAGTTGTGGCTGTTGCATAGGTCAAGACGGCCACAGAGGTGGCAAAGTCAGAGAATGTGCTGCTGAGCAAGGAGTTGAAGGAAGCTAGAGCAGCAATGTTGCTAGACCAGGCCACATGGCATGTCTTAAGGGGAGGCTGGGGAGAAGTTGAGCCTTGGTGATTAGTGATAATTGTCCAAGCAAGCTTAGGTTTGGGACTGATGACTACCTCAGGAGAACACCATTTTCCCAGACTTGAAGGGTTCTTAAGGCTATCAACAGGTGCCTTATTGCCCAAAGTTATACTACCTGGTTGGATGTCAAAGAGAGGATGATAAATCAAAGAGAACTCAGGATCAAGTCTCCCTATCACATATGTGTTGGCCTTATGAACAGCACTCTGATTGAGTTGAAGTATGTCCCAGAGCGGGAAGACAAGCAAATGTGGTATGGGAGGAAGGACACTTACAGATTCAACATTCTTGTGGTTGTTGACTATGAGTGTTGTATCTGTTACTTGCGCACAGGCTTCCCTGCATCATCTTATGACCAGTGTATTTATGCAAGACAAGAGGGGGCAATGTTTCAAAGAATGGTATCAACAGGAAGATAGGGCATGAGCACATACTCTGACAGGGAGGGACATGGGGGTCATGTGGTATGCATTCATTCCATGTCCACATCAGGCAAAACAGTCAAATGTCAGGCTGGCTTCCACCCAGAGGTACCAATTCAGGGATGCCCACATGGGGCCCCCCGGACCTGAAAAATAAGAAAATCATATAAGCTGGTCAAATTAACTATCCCATATGACACTGACTGTCTTGCCTGCAGCGCAAGGGACAACAGAAGCATTGATCAGTTGATAGGATCTTATGGCAATGTCCTGCCCCCAAGCATGAGCTTGACAATACCGCTCTCTCCATTCTCCTTCAATGCACCAGCCCTCCACTGGTGAGTTCCCATTTCTTACATTCAATGTGTGTGTTCCAGTCCATTGTGCTTGCCACCATTAGCTGGAATGTGAGTTGTCAAGTCTTTGGTTGGGACTTTAGTAATCACTTCACACAGGTTTCAACTTACACATCCATCAAAGCAGTAGTGGCAACCAATGGCTATACATATGTTAGACACCAACTGAAGGTTAAGTATTCTGTTTGGAAGTGATTTTTGTATAATAGCCACATAGCAAAAGTAGTACTGAGCTTGATACAAGGTCATATCATATGCAGCTTTTGACTCAAATTGGATGCTGCAACTACTCCACTTTCAAGATGAAACCACCTGGGTCTGGGGCTCAACAGATTATACACCACCGGTCAACTCAAATGTCCTGCGGATATGATGTGATCTAAATAATTGATTCTGATGTTGCATGGACATTTTGGTGTCCAAATGGCACACAGACATTTTGATGTGTGACCTTCAAAATGTCGCGCAGACATTTTGATTGCAGTTTCCAAAAACATCATATGGATATTTTCAAGGGTATGTCAGAATGTCTGGTGGACGTCATATACAGCTGTTGCCAACATTGCCTTGATATTTGCCTGGGGTACCAGAAACATTATATCAATATTCTCAAGGGTATGTTAGAATGTCTGGTGGACATTGTATGCAGCTGTTGCAAATATCAAAATGACTCTCAGACAAGCTACATCAGACATCTACAGAACATCTATTCACTCACAACCCTCCCTGCTTGCCCTCTCAGCTTGCCCTCTCAGCTTGCCCTCTCAGCTTGCCCTCCCTGCCTGCCCCTGCCTGCCTGCCCATTCCTCCCTCTTTGGCCTGGCACCTGTTACACAAAAGGCGGAGCACTCACAAGAGAGGACCGGATGCTGGTCAGGTGGTTCACAAAGAGGAAACCCGGTCAAGACAGTCTGGAAGAGGACACTGGTCAAGAGGGCTGCAAGGATGCCAGCAAGGAAGCTTGTGGATCCACTATACTTTGATCAGTAGACATCATTTTGAGAGACATATGTGCGTACCAGAAGGACGGGTGTCAACAAGCTGGCCAAAAGAGTCACCTATCGACCATGAGTACATATCAAAGCAATCTGTCACCTATCAACCATGAGTACATATCAAAGCAATCTGTCACCTATTGACCATGAGTACGTATCAAAGCAATTCTACATAGCATTGGAAGAAAAAGCTTGATACTCACAGGGCCCGTCACCTCTCCCAGATTTGTCTACATTGCCTGTTGGGCGCTGGAGGTTCCAAGACGTTCTACAGACACATCAGATGATCTCTGATGCCCTCTGGGGTTGCATTGTAGAGGAGTGGCAGGGGTATCAGTCTGCTCATTATTGCTCAAGTCATCCCAGTTATAGTTAGCAGCAAAGGGGTCGGTAGTGGTGAGGAAGTTGGACATGGTGAGTGTGATCTTGGGTAGCTGAAGTGAGCAAAGGTTGGGTTATTGTTAGAAAAGAGACAGGTCCTACAGCTCATATAAGCGCTTGGAACAATGTGAGCAGCCCCCGGCAACTGGGGTTGAGACACTCACATTACATCTATTGTTCTCACGTCAAGTGTGTCAAAGAGAGTTACATTTGTTAATTCTGGTGCATTGTTCTATGCCGGAAACAAGAGAGAAAGAGCAGATGGCACAGGGAGCAAAAGGGACAACAACAACAAAAACAACAACATATTGATGAGGAGGATGTAAGAGGTGTTGTTCCTCTTCACTGGCAGCGGCAACAGAGGGGCGGACGGTGATGGTCTCAGCTATGGGCTAACTGGACTGAAGAACGTCGATGAACGGCAGAGAATGGCGAAGGGTTGAGCGGGGTGATGCAACCTGAAGCAAAACAGGACCCCAATACATATATGTCACACAGACAGGAAAAGGCGGTGACTCTGGGCAGAGATCAGTCCTAACTCTAACCTCTAGTGTACAAAGAAGAAGGGAACTCACACGCACACACAGGCACCTGAGCTGTATGGCAAAGGGCAACGGACAGGGGAATGACGATGGTGTAAGAGGCTTGCCTCATACCCTTCCTGAACATACGACCCGTCGATCCTTTTGGCTGCAACTCTCTGCCTTGACTGTTAGACTGCATGTGAGTAAGCATTAGCGGAAGGCAGCCTGTTGCGTTTGAGTGCTTGGACTCAGCAAATGAGAAGCGCTCCTGCTATGCATGCATGCAGGAGGCGGCCTGATAAAGCTGTGGGACAAAGAGCAGAAAGAACTTAGACAAATTAGAAGCGCTTCCGTTGGTGTTTACGTAATGTGTAATGCCGCGTCAGCATTGGAGTTTTGCGGAGCTCGCCGCATGCGCAGGCAGGACTTGGTGGAACGTCAACGTGGCTCCTCTTTCTTGCCTGTCATCGTTCCCCTGTCTGTTGCCCTTTGCTATACAGCTCAGGTGCCTGTGTGTGCGTGTGAGTTCCCTTCTTCCTTGTACATTAGAGTGCATAGCTAAAACCTGGGCAGTTCATTAGAGTTAGGACTGATCTCTGCCCAGGTACGTATATACCCGTCGTCGTTCCCCTGTCCGTTGCCCTTTGCTATACAGCTCAGGTGCCTGTGTGTGCGTTTCGTTAGAGTTAGGACTGATCTCTGCCCAGAGTCACCGCCTTTTTGTCTGTCTGTGTGACAAGTATATGCATTGGGGTCTTGTTTACAGGTTGTGCCGCCCCATCCGTCCTCCGCCGTTCCTCGCCGCTCTCTCGCCGTTCTCCAGTCCAGCTCCTCATAGTTGAGATCACCGCCGTTCGTCTCGCCGCTCCCTTGTTGTCAGCAAAGCAGCCCACACGCTGCTTACATAAACTTCACACCCCATACCCATCACGATGAACAACAACAAACCCAACAAACCAAAGAACGCCGATGGCACGAAGAACGCCAAGGGCACATCCCCCTCCAAGCCTCACTCTGTCTTTTTTGACGAGGATGGAAATGCTATCACCTCTGCCGATGCCGCTAGCCGCCCCATTGTCAGACTTGGCAAGGACAGCACAATCATTCTTGGTCCCTGCCCTCCTGCTGTCGCTGTCACTACCCCTCTTCGCGCCGCCGATGGCACGCGCATTGCCTACGACACCCCCCCTCATCAGCTGCCCGGTCATACCCCCAAGGCCCCAGCTTCGGACAGTCAGATGTCCAGTCAGAGCGTTGGGTATGACGACCTCCACATCATTAGGGGAATTCGATTTGGCATTCTTAAACTTGCGCTCTTAAACTGGTGGCCTCAGGGCCACAGGGATAAGCACATGGCTGGCCCTGCAGAGGTCTGGACCCAATTAGATCCCGTCTGTCTAGAACGCGTCGGCCATCAGTGACGCGTCAAATGTGTTTCTTTTGCTGTTGCCCTCTATCCTCTCCATTCACTTCCCCTCTTGTCTCCATTAACACGCACCTACATCCTATCGCCATGAGTCGCATCAGCCCAAAACAGAAAAAGCTCGCCAAGTACCGCCGCATGGCCTGCTTGGCCATTGCCCTCTGCCTTCCTTTCAAGTCCTCTCTCATCAACATGTACACCGCGCTTGCCCGCTCTTGATACATGAAGAGACCCAAATTATATGGCCACCTCCGTGATCGTGACTGGCGAAAAACCATTGACAAGATTCATGCTACGGCTAGAAAGAATCCCACCAACACAACGGATTTTCGCCAGAGATTCCGTCTCACACCGGGTGAGTTCACAGGGCTCTTGGAACTCATAAAGCACCACCCAATTTTCCATACTGGTGGATCCCGCAAGCAGGCGCCACCAATGTACCAGCTCTCAGTCGCGTTGTACCTTCTGGGCCATGATGGTAGTGGTGCCAACATGAACGGTGTCGGCCATACTTTTGGAGTTTCTGGTAAGTTGACTGTGTTCCCTGGCAGAATTATAGCACTAGCTGACTCTATTGGTGACAGAGGGCACAGCGACCTTGTGGACCAAACGTGTTGTGGTTGCTATAGTCTCCCTCGAGAAGCAGGCAATGCGCTGGCCAGACTCGGCTACCAGGGCCGCCCTTGTCAAGAAGTTTGCGGAGGAGGGAATCCCTGGAGGGTGTGTGGGCGTCGTGGACGGAGTCATGATTCCGTTCTACCAAACCCCAGCTCGTCCAGACGCTGCTGATTTCTTTTCCTACAAGTCCAGGTGAGTGTGGTCACATATATCCCTAGACAGCGCTGACGGTAGGGACAAATTCTGTCCTAGCGGTTTGCGACGCGGATAAACGGATTGTGTACACTCAGTACAACTTTCCCAGATCATGCCATGATGCTCGAGTATTCAACGCGTCAGGCCTCATCCAGAACGCCGCACAGCACTTCACCCCTGGACAGTACCTCCTGGGGGACTCTGCTTTCCCTGCTGGGGACTACTGCGTGCCAATCATCAAGCTCCAGCGTAATGCACAGCGCCTTGATCCACCCGAGGTGATCGTTGTTCTTGCAGTCATTCACATAGATAATTGACTGACTTGGGGCCATTCATTCATAGGCGGAATTCAACCTCAACGCCTCATCAATCCGCGTACTCATTGAGCATACCTTTGGGATGGCTAAGCTTTGCTGGCAGTGTTTACGAGGTTTGCGCATGCGGATGAAGAACGAGACGGACGAGGCTATCGCCACTGGCATGATCCGCGCGTGCTTCATCCTTCACAACCTTCACGTCGCTACAGGAGATTGGTACCGCCAGGACAGCAACCATGACCCTTTGACTGACGCGGAGAGACAGGAGTTGGAGCAAGATCGGGCGCAATGGGTCCAGAACAGGGGGGCGGGCAATGGGGCAGGCAATGGGGCAGGTGAAGAAGAACAAGGAGAAGTCATTGAGCTGTTGGGTCTTGGGGCTGTCGACACAGGGTGATGAGGGAGATGGGGTTGGAGCCAACGGTGCGGCGTCAGGCGAGAGGCCGACAGGCGAGAGGCCGACAGGCCAGGCGATGATTGTAGATATGTGGGGAAGAAGGGGTGAAATGCAAATGTGAATCAGCGAAAGCATATTTACATAGGGCGGTCCATCTATCTTTCTGTCTATCTATCTAGCTCATGAAGGAAGGCATCACCACGCTTGCATCCGCCGCAGCAGCCTCATACAACATACCTCGTCTCTCCATGTTGAACAACACGTGCTTGTGCCACATCTCTAGCTTGGAGGCCAACACCTGTTGCTCTGCCTTCTTCTTTTCGACCTCGACCCTCTCTTTCTCAGCCTCCATCTTCTTTGTCTCCAACTGGATCATCTCATCGTGGCGGCGCTGGGTGTGCTCCTTGGCAATCTTCTGCAATCGCTCCATCTCATCGTCTGCAGTCATTCCCTTACCGGCAGAGTTATGAAGACTGAGAGGGGTCTTGGGAGAGTTAGCTGCCTTACAACGGCCTGCAACAGATCGGCAAGCTGGAGTCGCGATGACTTGCGAGAACTATTAGCGGAGACCCAGACATGCACAGCACGGGAAAGAGCAGCACATACCGGCAATTGGAGGGTGTTCCTCTCAATCCCCATTGTCATCATCATTGTTATCCTCCTCCCCGTCATCCTTGTCCTCCTTGTCCCCGTCATCCTTGTCCTCCTCGTCCTCGTCATCCTCGTCCTTGTCATCCTCTTCCTTGGTGCCCTCAGCTTCATCATTCCTCCCAATGATGTTTCGCATGATGAGGTCGAGTTGAACAGAAGAAGGGTTCGCGTCGCCCATGCTGAGGGTATCAGCGCCGTTCTTCGGCATGGAAGCCGCTTGGTGGAATAGCACTTCGTTTAGGTCGTCGAAGTACTGGCACATCTTGAGGACGCCGCCTAAGTGAATGTGTGTGCAGTTAGTTTCAGCATACTCTAGACCGGCAGAGGTAGATGGCTGATTGTGACTCACTGTCCCGCTCCTCCCCATCAAGCTGTCCAGCCCCAGTGCTGTTCTTGAACCGCAAGGCCTCAGTGTAACTCTTTTTCAACAAGAGGATCTATAGGTTGTCAGAGTGATAATCTGCATAGGCTATGGCGGCCGAATGAAAGCTCACCTTCGCCTTGACAGTGTCCGGTTTCCGCTCACTGGAGCAGCCCTTCTCCTCGAGGTACTGAATCACAGCCTTGTGAAGGTTGGCGCGACCCCCGTCGCCGCCTTTGGACAATGTCTTCCAACGCTCAAAATTGCTTTTCATGGAAAGCCCACTGCGCATGATCAGCCACTGCATGTAAGCAGCGGGCTGCTTCACACGACTTAGCCATTTCCAGCTGCGTTTTGGCGATCGCCGCCTCTCGCAACTTAACCATTTCTGCTTGCGTCTTGGCTATCGCCATTGTCGGCGTTTGTGCATTGGTTCCGTTCCCTGCCACTTGTGCAATCCCCGCTGTTTCCGCTTCCGTTTCTGTTCCCGTTCCGTCTCTCTGCCACCTTCGGCTTTACGGCGTTTGACTTGTGTGCTTCGTTCGCGACTGCTCTTGCACTGGGACAGGGACCGCGGGCGTGTGGAATCTTGGGTCTTTATCCATCTCTTTTCCCATTGCCCTTATTCCCTGTCCCTGTGTGTATCAATTCTCGTTCCCGGTGTCTTCCTTGACTGATCCTGGCCAGTGTCCTCTTCGTCTCTTTGGTGTGCTCTGTGTACATATATTGATGGACTCTGTCCAGGTTACATGCACAAGGGGTCTTGCACACTTCTCAAGACAAGTACAACATCGACCTAGTGAAGGACTGCCCGCATAGTCCTTACAGGCGTGGCCTGAAACAAACAGGACCCCAATTCATATATTTGTCACACAGACAGCAGGAAGCGGTGACTGGGCAAGAGTCAGTCCTAACTATTCTCTAACACACACACAGATGCCTAGGCTTTACAGCAATAGGGCAAAGAACGGGGAACAACGACGGGCAAAGAAAGAGAAGCCAAGTCGATGTTCCACCAAGTCCTTGTCTGTGCGTGCGGTGAGCTCCGCGAAACTCTGAAATGACGTGGCAATACACATTACATAAACACCAATGGAAGCGCTTCTCATTTGTCTAAGTTCTTTCTGCTCTTCATCCCACAGCTTTATCAGGCCACCTCACTGCATGCATGCATAGCAGGGGCACTTCTCATTTGCTGGGTCCAAGTGCTCAAACGCAACAGGCTGCCTTCCGCTAATGCTTACTCACATGCAGTCCAACAGTCAAGGCAAAGAGTCGCAGCCAAAAGGGTCGACAGGTCGTATGTCAAGAAGGGTATGAGGTAAGCCTCTTACAGTTAAGCTAAGAAATCCAAGTGTCAGTAACAAGAGATAGCTTAGGGCAGACACAACTTACCTTCTTCAGGATACTTTTCCTTGATTGTTTTGTTGGGCCCTTGTGGTTTGAGGAAAGACTTTCATGTGTGACACCTGCATGGTTATGCAGGAACATTTGGGCATGTATGATGTCCTCCTGAGGAAATTGACCAGCAGGTTGAGGGACAAAAGTTTGGGGTCTATGCCTAGTATGTCATGACCGCGCTCCAGCTTCCACATCATCCCACACTCTATTACGTAAATACTAATTGAGCTGGGTGCGTCGTGACACTCATCACTCAACACTTGTCATTACTTCCTCGTTTGAGACACCCCTCTTGTTTATTCTGGTACATCACAACCATCATATTGTACCAGGAGCTACTCATATCTAGGGACATTGCTATCACCCCACTTACACAGCAATTCATCTCAAAGATACAACCAACCCCAACTCAACCCAATACCTATCTCCAACCAAGACCTAGACACCCAAGCACCCTCATTCTTCTCCACCCCAATAATGATTCAGGAGATGCCCAATTACTCTGTAACCTAGAGACACTTTCTATACATAGAGACACTTTCTTTACATAGAGTCTGCTTCCAAGATATTGTGCATCTTAGATATTTCAGGACTTATTTCCATAGCAACTCATGAGAAAGCGTAGCAAGCCAAGGGAACAGCTTAGTCAGTTGGGTGGCAAATATGGAAAGCTGAGTAAGCCAGTAGGGCTCTGGATGTCTATAATGGTAGATAGTTTTACATAGATTCAAGGATCCCAACAACCTTGAATATGTCTGACTTGCCTATGAACTAGGAATTGCAAGCGAACAGGCCTATTCAAAATATACTAGCTAAGCCGACAGGAAGTCATCAGCCTTAGGTTAGTGCAAGCCCCTATCAAGTCCAAGATAGCCTTGCTGATCAGGTCCCGACACGTACGTGTATATTGTTGATTGGAATCGACATAGACATATACATAGATAGCCCCTTTTCTTCATTTAGTCAAGAGATACTGTATACTGCTGGACAAATATAGGGACACCGTGGGTAGGACCTGACATAGTACCTCCTTGACAGGTTTCCCCTTGTTACTGGAGTGTTGAAGGCGCCTTCGCTGGTTTGAATTATAATTGTCTGTCTCCCAATTGGCGGCACTCTTTACCCAGAAGCTGCTGTCCTCTGATGTCTCAGGCGTGCCAGCCTTTCTCGCGTTCTCTCCTACCTTTGTGGAGGTACCAGTAACCGCCTGAGACCTAAGCCTCTGGGTACCAGAGCTGATAGAATCTCCAGAAGGCAAAGGGTTGAGCACACTGGCCGGGGTTCCAGGCATGTAGGGACCCTCGTTGTGAAAAGGTGCAGAGCATCCAGTGGATGAAGCAGGGGGACCGGGGTGTGAGGGCATTTTGAGCTAAAACGGCAGTGATGACGGTTTGTGGGAAGGGCTTGAGCAGTGCAAGGGGTGCTGTGAGGTTGTGGAAGTTGATCAGGATTCTTCCCAATCATCAATCCTCCCAATGTGGGGATGGGCTTGGAGAGCCTATAGGACATACCCAGTAGATGGTGGAATCAATATAGGAAGATTTAAGGCCTACACAAAGGTAAAAGAGCTACAGGGTTATGGTTCAAAGTGTTGTCTCACAGGCCCTCATGACTTGAATTGTAAAACATGCAGAAATTGGAAGATTCAGAGAGGGAGGTATCATTGTCAGGTGGTGATATGATCTGCATCTTCTATGCATTGAATCTTAACCTTCACCAACGTGAATAAAGTATGTTGGGAGATTATCTTGAGGAAGTTGGTAGCATCATCATGAGCTGTTGTCCAACTATTATGCAAATTGAGGAGCCTGGAGGAATGCTACAAAGCTACAATCTGGACAGAGTGTGACAAAACTCATTGTCATGGACCGCCAAGGTTCCAATCAATCCTGTGCAATCCTGTGCAAACCTGTGCAATCCTGTGCAATCCTGTGCAATCCTGTGCAATCCTGTGCAATGCTGCATTGATTGCAAGCTCAAATCTGACTCTTGTATCCAGGAGATAGCTCTGTTCAAAGGAAGAAAGGACATGTGTAAAGCAGTGTAGTCTAGTATCAAGTCATCAGAATACTTTCTAGTAGTACAAGTGGGGTGTCTTGTCTAGTCATATGTAAAGATTGTAGATTAAGGTATATAAAGGGAGACGCTTTCCATAGTAGTTCTCCTAGTTATGGATAAACAACTTTCCTTCTGACAACTTTACATCAAAGGGTCACAATCAAGTCCAGATATATTGTTATCCTTTTACTAGGTGACAACTTGGCATTGTCCTTTCCTTTGGACAGATCACCAGCTCAACCCAACAGTCAGTGGCCAGCCCCATGACACTGTTCCTCTTTGCTACTGAACCCTCTCCCTTGCTATCAATACCCCTCACGCAACCCTCATGCGCTCTGGGACTTTGGCTTCTCAATTTGGCTTTGGCAAGTCAGCCTCCACCTTGCCTCCACTCATTAAATACCTCTTGTCTCTTGTTATGACTGAACCCCGCAATTAGCTGACACATGACTCAGGGACAATGGGACAAGGTCAGGCAAGAGGCCAGACAGGGCTGGACAACAGGGATGGACAACAGGGATGGACTCCTTGTGTCACACATAGTATTCCCTGAAGTGGCATTGGCGCTAAGTTTTCCCCTCCAAAATCACCTTTTCCCGTCCCCTCCCCTGCTGCGTCCCAGCTCGGCCGTGACACCTCAACAGTAATGATTGTGAGTACTGTGGTTGTTGAAATATGGGTACGTGCCAAAGGGGTATGGCTACTTGGAGCGTCTACTATAGGAGCAGAAAGTAGGGTAGAGTTTGTAGAGTGTTGTCAAAAAATTACCATTGATGGGGAAACTACAAGAGGACTACAAAGGGGTCCTTTTATATCTTTTCCGTCCATTGATGTTTTCCAATCCTTCCCTAGGTTGATTTTGCTTGCTGAATCAGCCTTCAGTGGCCTATTTGGCACAGTAGAGCTGATTCCAAATAACTATCTCAAATATAGCGGCAGTTGTACCATGAAATGATATAGAGTCTTGTTCTTTGAATACATGTTCCGGTGTTTGATCTATGATATGATACAAGCGGCTAGATATATGATAAAAGCGGATATGTATCTGATAAAGGGCAATTGTTTTGGATGACTGGTTGCACAAAAGTTCTTGTCTACAATGACTGGTCCCCAAAGTGATTGTCTGAAATAGCTGGTTAGGCGAAGAGCTGTATCTTATGCATACTTCAAGATGGAGAGCTGTTTCAGGGCTCAATGCATACCTCAGACACACGCCGCAATATGCATGTAGGTTGGGGAGAAGATACAAGTGATATTGCTGCCTTCTCTGCCAGCCTCAACATACTGGGTATGTGGTTGCGTCCAAGCAAATGCAAAACACTATGGGCCAAAGTCGCCGTTCTTGAGCCGCTGTATGGCAACCAGTCATTCTAAATAAGGCCGCTCAGCAAACCGGTCATCCTAGATATTTCAGGATGCCAAGGATGAGCAGTTTGAGCGTGCCTAACCTCCATTAGGTGCGTGTCAACAGGGTCATTCCGCTCGAGCGTTGTGGGTGCACGGCCCAGAATTCCACGTGGGCCACATCCAAGACAATTCTTTGCCCAGATGCGCCTCTGTTTTGGGAAACCAGTCATTGTAGATAAAAACACTTTTGAACCGGCCATTCTAGATAAAATTTCATTCAATAAATGTCCTAGTATGTGATAAAGGGGCACAATGGTGCGATACAGTGTCATGAAGCATGCCAAATGACATGCTGAATGATGCTGCAGTTGCGCCACAAGCGTTGAGCCGCGGGGCAGCCATGTCCGCTTGACTTGCTGTTATGTAACAGACTACCTGATGGCTGGGAGGTGGGCTAGACTGTAACACCTCTCCCTCTTTTGAGATCAGTTCTGTTTCTTTTTCTTCATTGCTAACTGTTTTTGTCTTCATGTGATATCTTTGCTCGCTTCTCCTCATTTGATTGTATAGTGTTTTGTCTGTCCTATTTGTATACATAGGAATGGTGTGCCCCAACATTACCCATATTCAATAACTTTTGCAATGTTTGAAGGCTGAGGAAAACTTCCTCTGGCTAAATTTGATGTTTTCAGACACAATCAGGTAGTTTGGCAGTTTCTGGCAGAGCAATTTCCCATACAAAATAACTCTGGTGGCGGGATGGCAGCAAGCGCCGATGTTTCTTGCTCTGGTCAAACAGAGTGACGTTGTTTTGCAAGGCGTGGTGCCTATTGAACTCTTCTACATCACGGCTGGGCCTAAAAGATGGTGGTCAGCTGTGTAAAGTTGTTTCTGAAGTGAACCTTGAGCTCACACAGCACCAGGCTCCCATGTATGGTACTTGATTGTTCTATGAGGGGTCAGGACATCTATTAAAAGTCCGTAACCAGCATCACCCAAAAGATATTGACCAGGAGGCATTGCAAAGTTGCCTGTTGCCCCAGCCATTTCAAGTACCTTAAGTCATGCGCAGATCCCTCTACACCAGCATATATTGCAATGAAGTCAAGGTTGAAGTTACAGGCAGCAAAGTGTAAGGACTGAGTGTGCAGTCCTTCACTGTGTCAATGTTGTAACTGGTTTAAGAAGTGAACAAGACCCCTTGTGCATGTAATCTGGACAATGTCTGTCAATATATGTAAGGAGAAGAACACCAAAGAGGAGAAAAGGACACTGGCCAGGATCAGTCAAGGCGGACACCGGAAACAGGAATGGATACGCACAGGGACAAGGGAACCAAGGACAAGTGGAAAAGAGAAATGGATAAAGACCCAAAGATTCCATGCATCCGCGGCCTCTGTCCCTGGGCAAGAACAGTTGCAAAACAAAACATACAAGTCAAAACACTGAAAGGCTGAAAGTGGCAGAGAAACAGCCGAAACAGGCAGGGATAACAAAGGCGGCAAAAAGGGACAGAGAAAGTGGAAATAGCAAGGTGGCAGGAAACTGAGAAACGGAACCAAATAATGGAATCAGACAGTAGCATCGGTATTTTTATTGCCAAGACACAAGCAGAAACGGATGAGTTGCAAGCAGCAGCGATTGACGGAACACAGCTAGAAATGACTAAGTTGTGGAAAGCAGCCCACTGCTTATACAAAGACATTCATAGTTGGTTTATCCTTTCTCCCTGAGACATGAACATCTCTCATTCTTTCTGGTACTTTCATCCCTATATGGGTACCATCAAGCGCCCCTCTGCACCCTGCAAAGACCAGTGGCATGGTGAAAATGTAAAATACATATCCATCTTCACAACCAACATCACAACTCTGCCATTCCAGGGTCTGACCAGCGCTTGACGTGAGAACAGAGTCAGACTTTGCCACCAACGGCAGCCAAAATGGATTTTCGCAGCTCCAGCCACCCCCCTTACTCTGTAAATTTGGTCCCGCTCTGCCGGAAACTGCTGAACTACCGAATGTGACTATATCTCTTCACCCTGGCCATAATGTGACTATGATGTAATATGGACTTTTCCCATGCCACAACGTGACTTGTCCAATCTTTTCCAGTCATAACACAACTATCCATTTTTCTAATATGACTTGGCAATGTCTGCCCCTCTTATTACAATGCACCTGTTGTAAATATCATTGGAGTTTCAGGCCCTGTTGGTCACCCACTCATTCCCACATAGAGTGTGGCATTACATCATCAAGCTTCATAAAGTCATCTTGGTTGGTGGCATACACAAGCAACTGGTATGAATCCTCCCCAGGTTCATGGAAGCGCTTCTTCATGTTCCTCTGGAGGTCAATAGAGCAATGAACATGCTCAGTATTGGCAAGAACTTCCTGAGAGCTTTTGAAGAGTCCCTGTTTTTCTGATACAACTCCAGAAGAGGAAAGCTTTGAGGCTTGTAAGTTATGCTATCAATCCAAGCGTGGGGATCACAACATACCTGATGCTCTTGGAATTGGAATCTCAGCACTCAAGCTTGAGGGGCTAATACTCCAGGCTTACAGGTGGTAGTTGCAAATTTTCTGCAAATTTCAGTCTCCGCTGCATTGATGCAGCTTGGATGTATATTTCAAACCACTACATATAACATACATATAACACTGTATCGCACCTATGCATATCAAATTTTATGATGATGACAATGAGCATCTCCTGCATTGGAAATGCATAGCTAGAAGCTGTTTAATCATTACTTGGTATGCCTGCCTGTCACAACCTAGCTGGGCCACACAACTCAGCGCCCATGCCACTTCAGGAAATTACTACACATGACACCGCCTTGCCTCTTTATCACCTCCTTCATTCTGGGCGGCATGTTCTCATTGCATGCTGCGATGCTCTCCTGCGATATCTCCTGCCAGGCTTCCTTGGCCATCCTGGTAAGTTCTTTGGTGGCGCCCTTCTCCCACAACCCCTGATCCTGTCTTTGAAGAGCTTCCAGCAATTCTCAATTGGATTGAGATTGGGAGAGCAAGCAGGGTAAGGAATGTAGGAGAAGCCATTTGCATGGCCTGCCCCTTGCGCCACCTTGGCTGTATGGACCCAAGCATTATCCTCTAGGATGAAAGAGCCCTGCTCACCATCCACACGCGAAATTGCAGATTGCTTTTGCTGGTGTCGAAATCAACCAGCTCTGATCTCCCGCCATGTAAAGATGACTCCCCAAACCATAATGGAAACCACAGACTGCTCAAATGCAGGCCTCAGATTCTCCAACCACAATGCCTCTCCCTCTTTAACGAGAATGCCTCTCCCTCTTTCCTTGTGACCCAAGTCACATGGTTCCCCTTGGCTCTGACAATTGCCTCATCAACATGAACACCCTTAAGTTGATATTCTGGTGGGCAAGGGCGTATGAGTAGCGGGCACGCTTGTGCTGCTTCTTTAGGAAAGGTTGTACACCACTTTCCTTTGAGCAAATCCCTTGGCAGCCATAAACTTCTTCAAGGTAGTCAGGGATATTTTGATTCCACTGGCAGCCGCAAGGGTGGAAAGTTTTGTGACCAGACTCCACCTGTGTAAACGAATCAGGTGGCAGAGTCGGCAGGAAGTACAAGGGTCCTTTGTGGGCATTGTGTATGGTACTCTTGGCAACTCTGTGGATGTGACCGGCTTGTGTATTGCCATATCTGTCGCCATCCGCGGCGTATTGGCGTCGTTTAGATGGTGAAGCATGTAGAGTCATGGCAGTAAAGTTGACTGGTAAAAAAAAGAGCACATGTGTAGCTATGTTGTGAAAGGTTATATAGCTGATTGAAATGTATATGAGGTCATAGACACATTTGATAAAATTGTGGAGAAAACCGGAAACTGCAGAAATTTTGCAACTATCACTTTACAAGTGTGCTTTAGTTGCAGCTGAGTGGTAATCCACCACACCTACAGCACGCTCTTTGACAAGATAGTCATACCTGTTGTTTTGGCATGATAACAAATGCAGCTATGATAGTCTTTTTTGGAAAGACCACACCTATTAGACACCAAGTCCTGTTGCAACCTGTCCATACAGTGCATCCTTGTTGGTGAAGACTTGGCCCTCATACAGTTGGACAGGTGGATGAGGATCACAAAGTATTTTTCCTTGGGTGGCAGGCACACTGCAACAAACATGTCAATATAAGTAAGGATGTGACAGGAGGAGGCTCTTACATTTCATGCATATTCTCCACATTTCGCAAGAAGACAGGAGCCATAGTAAGACTTTGTGTGGGCTGTGTACTTTTGCTTTGATTGAGGTATTGGGTGGCTCAGCAACTGTGAGTTGTTTATCAAACAACACAAGAGAAGACTGTAATTGAGCAACTACAAGCAACTGTGTCACCTTCTACAAGTTGCATGGCATCTGAGCCACATTACCTGACAGACGCATGTCACGCTCCAGATGGGATTGGGCAGGTAACTAACAGGGCCTGGAACTTCCAATGGTATGTATCTACCGGAGGTGCATCATATTTAAGGGGGCGGACATTGCCAACTCATATTAGGAAAATGGATAGTTGTGTTATGACTGGAAAGATTGGAAAAGTCACATTGTGGCGTGGGAAAAGTGTATATTACATCATAGTCACATTGTGTTCAGAGCAGAAAGGATATAGTCACATAGTGTCTGAAAAACTTGATTTAAGTCAGAGGAAGTCTTTTCCTCAGGAAAGGCTGGGCGGGAGGTCCCACTTCCCTCTCCAGCTTCTTGCACAGCTGCTACCAATCACTTTGCTCATAATTGACCCCACAAACCACACTATCCGGCCATATATCATAATCTCTATTGACTGTAGTCCAAGTTTCATCATGAAGCAGCACTCTCTCAACATGAGTTCTTTGTAAGGAATTGGTACAGATATTGTGGCGTGTACTATGGAGCACAGAGTTTGGTGTAGTGGTTTGCCGCTATGGTCTCAGGGATGCGTAGGCAGGATTGCAAGATGAGGTTCCCATTTCCCCACCAATGTATCCTTGTATGAACCTCCTCACCTATATCCATCCTTCATCCATCCAGCCTATTCAAGGTCAACATCTCACGCCCCTAGTCAGATCCACCACGTAGCTGCTCCTAGGTTACGCCACCTATCCTTCCTCCTTCCTTTACAGAAGAACACATCGCTTTTCGACCTTTGATAGGCGAAACCCCACCTCTCCCCTCTGCCCATCCTCTTGTCCCGACCTCCCCATCTTCTCCCATCCTCCCGCCTGTCCTCTCCCCACCTTTCCTTTTGCAGGACTGGGGTCTGCAGCCCCGCCAATAGTCTTGCTTGCTAATCAGCACACCACGAGTTTGGCCAACTCGCCCTGCCCTTATCTCTTTTTTCAGGCGATCTCTCTCATAAAGGTTGTCGTTCCCAAACCCCGCCGTGGTTGTCTCCTGTTTGAGAGCCACATTTCGACATCTAGCGCCCATAGCTAGATCCACCGCGTAACCGCCCCTAGGTTATGCCCCACCCAACAAACCACCACAACCACTGTCCGCCAGCCACCCAGACTGCGGCTAACCACTGTCTGTGGGCTGCACAGGCCTAGTAGACAAATCCTTCACTACCTCTCCCGGGACTGCGCCTCTAGTTATCGATCGCGTTTGCCCCCGCCCTTATCCCTTTTTTCAGGCAATCTCTCTCATAAAGGTCGTCGTTCCCATACCCCGCCGTGGTTGTCTCCTGTTTGAGAGCCACATTTCGACGTCTAGCGCCCATAGCTAGATCCATCGCGTAACCGCCCCTAGGTCACACCTCACCACATACCCACGTCTGCAAGCCAATCAGGCTGGGACATACCTTTACCACTTTTCCATGTCTGTGAGCCGCCCAGGCTGCGACACACCACCACAACCATTGTCCGCCAGCCACCCAGGCTGCCGTTACCCACTGTCTGTAGGCCACACAGGCCTATGAGACAAATCCTTCACCACTCCTCCCGGAACTGCACCTCTGGTTATCAATTGCGTTTGCAAAATTAGCAAGCTATGTTCAGTTTCTGCGCGAGATCAAGCAGGCGCAGGTCGCCCAAGCTCTCCTTTCTATGGGAGAATCGACTTTACAACAAGCTTCAGATGTGCAAGTTTGACACTACACAGGTTGCCTTCTTGAATTATGTAGTCTCTTCCCTTCCCATAGCGCTTTCATTCTTCACCGCCTTTTTCTTCCTTCTCGATCCTTGAGATATCACAACCTGCCTGGTGTAGTACCCTTATTGGACATTTACCTTTGCTTACATTATCTTTCCTTCACAGCCAATTCTCAATGTCTACCTACAACTCCATGGGTCCGCCGCTGCCCCACCTACCTGTCAATCCTTGTCATTTCGCTACCCTCCATCTCCATCACCTATCTGTTACCACCCACATTCCACCCCACCCCATCTTTCCTCCACTGCCATTGCTACCCTTCAGCAATTGATGCCCAATCTACTGACCCCATCTTTGCGTGGACGCTCAGTTTTAGACCGGGGGGAGTGTAAGGGATTGGTACAGATGTTGTGACGTGTAGGAACGCAGGGTTCGGTGCTAGGGTTGCCGCTATGGTCTCAGGGATGCGTAGGCCGGATTGCGAGATGAGGTTCCCATATATACATCATGCCGCGTCTCCTTATCCTTTTCCCTATCGATGTATTCTCGACATAGTATCCTCATCACCTATATCCATCCTTCATCCCTCCAGTCTATTCAAGGTTGACATCTGGCGCCCCTAGTCAGATCCATCACGTAGCCGCTCCTAGGTTACGCCACCTATCCTTCCTCCCTCCTTTACATTAACCTCAGCATTGACTAGATAGTTCATACTGCTGCAAGACATGCTCTTGTTGTATCTTGGTACCAATAGTATTCGACTGTGCTGAGCTGCTTTTATGAAAGAACTGATGCTTGCCCCTGATGAGGAAGTGCTTGATTATAAAGACAGAGGGGATCAACAGAGAGAGTACTATAAGAAGTAGCTGTTGCTGCACACATGGGAGACCCAATGGATCCATGTGATGCATGCGTGCGCCCCCGCTATGATTTGACCGATGGCCAATGCAGCTCTCCTAGTGCTGTGCTGCATGCGAGCTGAAACGGCACAGGCAAGAGGTGACCCGTGGGCCGTGACGCTGAGGTGACGAGCAAGCGCGGCTGGCGCCGAAGAGGTCGTTTGATCCCGCCTCCCGGCCGTCGGCACGAAGGTGGAGGTATGATCCTGACGCGTGGAAGTACTCTACATCTTACAAGTACGATGAGGATCGCTTTCATTCACCCAGACCTTGGCATAGGTGAGAGTTCCGGTGCACTTCAACTGTAGGCTGACCTTTAACAGGTGGTGCTGAAAGGCTCGTCGTTGATGCCGCTGTCTCCCTCCAGCGCCTCGGCCACGAGGTTGTCATGTTCACTTCTCGCCATGACCCTGCTCGATGTTTCATAGAAACCAAGGATGGTAGGCAGCCTATTGGTTTCCGGTATGTCCACTCACGCCTCACAGGGACTTTGCCAGTACATGTGCTCGGATCTTCTCTTCCTCGCATCCTGCATCCCCGCTTCCCTTGTACTATTCTGTTCTCAATCCTCCGTTCCCTGTTCCTCGCAACCCTTCTCCTGACATCTCTCCTGCTCCCTGATCCCCCATCCCCCTTCAATCCGCTATCTCCTCTCCCAAAATTTGATCTGTATATCGTCGACCAGCAAAGCGTGGCCATTCCTCTACTGCGGTTTGTGAGCGGGAGCCGGGTGATATTCTATTGTCACTTCCCCGATAAGCTACTCAGTGGGGGGTGGGATATCAGGATCGATGACAAGGACTCCTATGTGAGGCGACAATCGGGAGTCGGGCTTCTGAAGCGCCTGTACAGATGGCCTATAGACAAACTTGAGCAATGGACCACTGGTAAGGCCTTCCTGTTCTTATTGATGTTTCCAGCTTATAACCCGCAATAAATAGGTCAAGCTGATGTGTTGGTATCCAACTCTGAGTTTTCATCTCGTGTATTCCAGCTTGCCTTCCCATCGTTATCTCAGCATCCACGCCGGGTTATCTATCCGTGTATCGATATCGAAGCGTACCAAACAAAGATTGAAGGGAAGGGACGAGCGGACGGAAGTGTTGAGTCAATCGTATCGTGAGTCATATATGCTCTGGTCAAACACAAGCTTGATCGAGGCTCATATGCACAAGTGACCGGCCTACAATAATATCCTTCAATCGTTTCGAAGCAAAGAAAAACGTGGCCTTGGCTATCAAAGCTTTCGCAGGCTTGCGTGACAGGGAATTGGTGTCACCAAGCGAGTTTGCCGATCTTCGGTTTGTAATCGGGGGTAGGTTTGTCGCCATGTGTGTCGATATCATTGAGCTGATAGGTGCAGGTGGTTACGACTCCGACGAGCAAGACAACCGTCAGACTCTTGCCAATTTACAATCTCTCTGCACTTCTCTTGGCATCACCTACACGACCATAACGAACCAGTCAGCGACTCAAGCGCCGATTGATCCCAAAGCGCAAGTTATCTTCCTGCTCAACTTTACCAACGCCCAGCGCACCCATCTTCTCACATCCTCTTCCACCCTGTGCCTATTGTACACCCCGGAAAATGAGCACTTTGGTATCGTCCCTATCGAAGCAGCTGCATGCGGAATTCCTGTCCTAGCGTGCACATCCGGAGGCCCCATGGAGACCGTCGTAGACTTCTCCCGATCCGAAAACGGGCAGGGCTCAGGTCTTCTCCGTCCTCCCGATGCCGGAGAGTGGACGCAAGCTCTCTCCGAGCTCATCCATCTCCCGTCCTCCTCCCGCTATTCCATCTCCTCCTTCTCCCGCTATCGCGCCCAACAAACGTTTTCTCTAGCCACTCTGGGAGGTGACTTGGAAGAGGCATGTGAAGATGCGTTGAAGATGGGGGATCTGCACATGCAAATAGGTGACAAGTTGATTTGGGGAAGTCTGGGGCTGATGGCGTTTGCGGTTGGAGGACTGGGGGTGATCTGGGCGCTAGGCGGGTGATTGGTTTTCATGGGGATGGGATGAAAGAATGTATGGAGAGTGATGGATCCATTTCCGCCCCCTTGGCCACTGTAGGCGCGTCGTCGGTGCCCGATTCCGAATCTGATGAAGAGATGTCGCTGTCCGAGTCGAAGACACGGCCGAGATATTGGCGAGACCCTGAACAGGACAGAAGCAAGGGATAAAAAGGGTGGAATTGCACAGATCCCACGGCACCTAATGTACGCGATGAGTTGGGGCGATTGGCACATGCAGCTTCCAGTACCCAGAAAAACCCACTATTGTATAGTTTCTGTTCCCATACAACCGGACACACAGGGTCAACGATGTCCCAAACTCGTACATATCCATTCTTCGCGAGAGTCAGCCCTATGCAATAGATTGGATGAACCACTTACCTGGTCCCCAGAAGCAACCCATCGCCCCCAAGGGTCGACGTCAAACCAGATTCTCTGGTTAGTCTGCCCGTCCCTATCGAGCCGGATGAGAGGTTTCGTCGGATATCTCAGGTCAAATACTTGCAAAGCCCTTGACCGCCGTGAAGACACAAACGCAACAGCCGAATTCAGAGGATGCCAGCCCAATTGAGTCACACCCCCTCCCTCCACGCCGTCCAGCCACCCCACCGCTTCACGGCCATCCTCTTGATAGAGGGCAACGGAGCCATCATAGGAACCAGCGGCAAAGAGGCCGCTACCATCGGGGTTGAAAGAGAGGGCAGATATGATACCTCTTTGACCGTCTTTGGACGCTTTGCTGGCAGAGGTCTTGAGCCTAGCGCTGGTTCCGTGGCCTGGATTGGCAACATCGAATATTTCAATTGCGGATTGAAACCCACAGTATATCCTGAGCACATGGTCGTCAGCTACGGCAAAAATACTGTTTACCGGACATACTTGGTGGTCGATGTGTTGAATGCCAAAGAATGGGGGGCAACAAATCGCTCACGATGGTCCATAATAGGGTATGAAGCTCTGTGCTGCAGAAACAATGTCAGCACTCGGTTCGCACGAGAGGGGTTCACGACTTACTACTCCTGTTATACCGTCAATGAGCTTCAAAGGGCTGTCACGAATTGCCGCAGCAAAACAGAAAGTCTCTGGTGATGCCAGAGTGGCTGTTGGGAACCAAAGAGATGACACTATGCTATCTGGTTGGGGAAAGGATGCTGTCGTGAGTTGCCCGGGAGTCGTTTCTGACAATCTGCAGACAAGTCAACTGAAAGGGTGATGAGATGCGCAACATAATCCATACTGATGAACTCGAAGCGCGCGGTCCTCTGTAGTTGACAAGATAGCACTCCCGTCGATGCACCTTATGTAGTCAGTGGCTGGAACGACGGTGGCTCATGCAAACATACCAGCGGGCCGATCTCCAGAAATTGCGAGCAACAGAGCTACTGAGAGAACTCTGATTCAGGGAGGCGTATGGCTTTGCCGCATCGAAGACATAGACGGGTGGCTGGGTATCCATGCTGGGCTTGGAGCTCTGCAATGCGAACAGGACAAGATAACAGCAGCTTGTAGGTTCAGTTGCAACTGGCCAACAACTGGCAACCATTTACAAGATGCAGAGGAACGGTGGAGGCAGGCACGACGCGTATGGACGACGACCAGGAAGAAGTGCACAAGTCTGCTCACTCCACGCCAATCCACGACGTCTCCAGTCCACGTCTGCGCCCGCCGCCCCGCCCAGTCCCGCGACTCCCGCCCATCCCACCCATGGAGGCCATCGCCGTCCACAAGTCAGAGTCCCCCCCACCGTTGCAGCCTAGCGTGATGGACGCAAAGTCAGCCGTACGTCCCTCGTCTTCGCCCTCTTCCTGCCCGCTCACAGCCCCGGTCCTGTAGGCAAAATCCACGCATAGCCATGCAAAGAACTCGGGGTTCTCGCCCTTCGCACAGTCAACCCAGTGCGCTTCAAAACGAACAACGCGTCAAAGCGACGACCACAACAGGTCTAGTACTTTGAGAGAGAGCGGCAATGTACCAGCGGTGGGAACGGATACTCCGACCGGCCCTAGCCGACATCGTCCCAGAAAGAGCCTTCTTGGTAGCTCCGAGGCAACTGCTGAAAACTCCACAAGGTTTCCCGCCCGCCATCAATCTCTGAAGAGAAGGAGGAAAGACTCTCCAGGCGAGTCCTCCGTGGAAGAAGAGTCCAGCGCGACTAGCCGGAGCAACGCCCGAAATACCATAGAGAGCGCCCCCCAAAGGGGTCAGCGTCAATCCGTTAGAGTCTACCGTCAGTCTGCTTCGGGTAGCGATGACGGTGATATTGCTCTTGTCGATGGTCCGCGCCAACAATCGAAGATCATCGGCTCTTCGGGCCACCGAAGAGGGGGAAAGGATCAAGGAAACTCTAACAATCCATTCTCAGACACTCGGCCAACAGCCAGCACGTCAAATCATCGAGATGCTCGTCTCGCGAAGCAGAGCAGGGTTCACAAGAATGATCGGGACAGCGATGTTGAAGAGGTCAACAGACCGGAAAAGCTGGGAATGGGGACTGGAAAGAGCAGATTAGACGATCTCGCCTATGCTCTCAAACCTCCTCCTCGCAAAACCGGAAGGAGACCAATGATGAACAAGGACGGACTCACTGCTGTAAGTCGCCTAAATCTTTTCATGAATGTTGCCGACATATGTTCTTCAGTCGACGAGCTCCTCAATGCCCAAACAGCAAAAAGAGAATGGCCCAAAGGGCCAAGCTCCAAAGAAGACGTCAATTCAAAGTTTCATGGTCGCGAGGGCATCGCGTCTGCCCCACGGGCCCTTTCGCGTGGACACGCTGTCCTTTTACAATACGAACATGAAATTCAATCGTAAAGAAATTGGGAAGTGGCCGGTAGACTACGATCAGCTAGACTCCCTGGAGGTATCTACATCTAATCTCTACATTCTGAGCTCGCTGACACACTCAGATATGTGTCCATGAGTCGCACCCCCTCGTCAGAATAACACTAAATCCCAAAGTTTTTGTCGACAACATGATTCTGAAAGGTCTTATCGGTGATGGTGAGCTAATCGTTTTTCTCGATGACTCATTTCTTAACTAATGGCATTCAAACAGATTCACTCGTGGCGATGGATGAACTGCACATGACCCTAATTCCAGGACAATCAGACGACCTCGAAACCATCCTGAGGAATTTCCATGATAAGGCCAAAGCAAGTGCCAAGTCATCAAAGCTACGGAACCACATCAATTTGATCGAGTAATAGCGACATCTCACTCAAAGAAATTACGCTGACCTCCTAAAACTACAGTGAAGATGTTTGTCATATGTACAGAGAAGCTGAAGAGCAGGCAGAGGCAGCAGAAAGACGAAGTAACGGGGAAACCCTCGGAAGAAGACATGACGAAAGAGGAGCCGAAAGCCGAACCCAAAAGGCAACGAAGGGGAAGTCGAGATCGAAAAAGACCGAAGAGGAGGACAGCAAGCAGAGTAAACTAGATTTGTGAGTCAATGAGCACCGAATCTGTAGCGAATCCTTATCAAACTGCATAGTGCGCCCCGAACTCAGTCAGAGCGGTCGCTCGCGCGCCCAGTACGCAAAGCCGTTCAAGTTGCCAAGGAGAAAAGCGGAAATGCTGCTCTATATCACGAAATTGGTTCTTCTGACGACGATGAGGTCCCTGTGCATATGCCCTTGGGCCCTCCCATCAACAGAGACGAGCTGTGAGGCTGCATTTAGATCTTTTTGCTTTACTAATGGACGTTCTCTACAGCTACTTTCCTTATCCTCTCCGCGAGAAAGCTGCTGTGACCATCACTCGTGGCGATGTGTTGCGAATACAGCAAAATGACTTTTTGAACGACACTCTCTTAGACTTCGGTTTGCGGTGCGTCATTTACATAATCTGTGGAAAAAAACAAAGAACATTGGCTAAATATGGCGTAGGCATGTCCTGGACCAGTTCGACAACGACGCCAAAGATGAAACTCATATATTCAATTCTTTCTTCTATTTGAAACTTGCCAACAAGTCCAAAGGGTAAGTAAGATTTGGGCCCCACACTTCTCCCGTAATGTTCCTGTATTGACCCTCCGTAGGAGCAAGCCCACACCGGAAGGGTGGGCGGCTTATGACTCTGTCAAAAAGTGGACAAAAGGCAAGGATATCTTCAAGAAGAAGTTTGTTGTGGTACCAATCAATGAACAGTGAGTCACAATCACCGCTGAAATCCGCTAACACCTTTTGAAGTTTTCACTGGTATCTTGCTGTGATCATCAACCCTGCCGGCATCTTGCGAGAGACAACCCCGCAGCCAAATATTCAAACAAGTACCATCGAGTTCAAGTCGAGTCCCAATCGACCTACCACACGGGCGGCCGCAGCTGCCGTGAAGGAGAATGCCACCGCCGAAATCGAAGTGCCGGCGTCTGCCGATCAAGATCCCTTGATTTTGTACCAAGGCAATGTCGATGACAGTGAGCGGCATGTCGCTGGGGAGTCTGTCCATGAGAACCGGCCAACTCAGCCGGATCGTATACTGGAGACTCCGATCGCTTCTCAGACCATTGAGAAACCAAACGAAACCAGCCCAAATAATAACCTCTCGCCCCCGCCATCCTCTCCACTCACGCCTATAACGCCTGTTCCCGAACATCTCTTGTCACCTGATGCGCCGGTCTCCAGTGATCCCATTAACGCTCTAGATCAGACGGGCGATCAGGATCAAGATATCCAGATGCAGGATGTCTCGTCTGCCGTTCAGAGCCTGGCCCTGGGGGTCAAGGTCAATGGGGGGGCTGACTCCAAAGAAGGTATTCGAGATGCTTCTTTGCCGAGGAAGCTCAAAATCCAAGCAAAGAGCAAGATCTGCAATGACAACAGTGACGAGGGCTCTGTCAAAAATGATGTTGGTGAGGATATTGATCCGGCTCAAGGTGGATACATCGATATCATGTCTTCAGCGTTTGCCCACAATCGCCAACCTTCAGAAAAGGTACAGGCTGCAACAACGATCGAAGACGATGATGACGTTGTGGAGATAGCTGGCCCTGCAGCGGGGAAGAAGCACAAGAAGGGGAAAGCTTCGACCAACAAAGATAAAAAGGCTCATCCGAAAAAGAAGGGTGATGATGACAATTTTCAAGACGGCCGGTACGTCTGATGGCCAGCGTTGCGACTCCTCCCTGACATGAAGTGTAGAACCTGGATTGTGACTTTTGACTCCCTTGGCGGGAAACATCAGGCGGTCGGTAACACATTGTCGCGTTGGTTAGAGTTTGAAGCGAAGGACAAGCATGGCGTCGATGTCAAGAGTGATGCGGTATATCGGGCGGGATATGTACGTGCCATTAGCTTCACCGGCTATCCCCGCTGACATCGAATACAGGCCCCAGCCCAACCCAATTTCGTCGATTGTGGGCTATATGTTGTGTGGTACACTCAGCAACTTTTACAAAAGACAGACGCCATTCTCGAGTTCGTTCAGGTGCGTGTGATCGTGGCATCCCTTGCCCCCCATAATTGACGTGTGATTTCTAGCGCCAGCAACCATACAAGACGGATCCTGATCGCAAGGAATGGCAAATTTCTCTCGAAAGCGCCTGGTCAGCGTCCGAAACAGCCAATTTAAGGGACAAATGGCTCGCCATTATGGAGAGTCTGAACTCGGAGTGGAAAAAGGTGAAAGAAGAAAGAGCGGCTGCTGGTATTCCAGAGGACGTTGACGTGGATGGAGAGGAAGGGGACAGCCAGATCCAGGTTATCGACAAGGAAGAGCAAGAAACCCTTCAGAAAGTGGTAAAGGCAGAGTACGAAGAATATCGCAGATCTGGCAATCTAGAGGGATCTCAAATCGGCAAACAACTGTCCCCTTTTCGAATGGCTGCTGCTCTCAGGCCAGCAATAGAAGAGGACGGCGAATTTGCAGAATCTCGGTATGCCCAGCGGCGACTGTCGGCCCCTGCTATTTCTTCCAAGTTTCGACCGGGACACGAGCCCGCGCCCCGCAGCATGCCACCTCCTGACCGTACCTCGACACCTCATCGACCTGCCCCCGAGAAGCGCCCCGCGCCAACTTCCGCCCATCTTGAACCTGATATGCCCGGCTCGTACCCGCACTCCAGCCCAACCAATGCAGCGCGAGATACCACGCGAAGGAAGGCTAGAAGTTTATCACCAGGTACTCAGGGATCTCCTGATTGGCCGGACAGAGCCGAGGATGATGAAGACGCTGTCACTCTCCGGGGCCAGCCGGAGGACGGAGGGGAAGAAAGGAGACCTCTAAACCCAACAACACGGAATGACGACTCGGACGAGCTCGATACAAGCGCAGACGAGCGAGTTCAAGAAGTCGAAGGGGGCCGACCTGGTCCTTCAAGGAGGCATGCTGGGGGTGTTATGGAAAAGGAGAGAGAAGGAGAGAACGACGACGCAAAGATAGAAGAGGAGGAGGAGGAAGAAGAAGAAGAAGAGGAGGAAGAGGAAAAGGAAGAGGAGATGGACGAACAAGCGTTAGGGGAAACTCTAAAGAGGGAAGAGTATAGGTTACAAGCGCTTGACATCCACGTCAGCAATGGTCATGGGCGCTCAGAGGCGAGTCCTGTCGCCGCTGAACCTCACATGCCAACTACCGCTACCGTGGACCCTGAGAACGTCCATCATATCCGATACTCTTCCGAGGATGGTGCAAGTCCCTCCCATTCTGCAACGCCGACCAACGTCCCTCCCAAAGCGACGGCTGGGAGACAAAGTCTTTCAAAGGAGAGTAAATACTTTGATAACGGCAAATCTAAACCTCTCGAGCCAACAGCTGTCAAATCGGCGGTAGCGTCGTCCAGTTTCCCTCCGAGGCATACTCCGAGCAGACCGAATCCGGAGGCCCTTGTGCGAATGTCTTCTGGTAACCGTGGCCACGTCATCTCTGTCAAGAGTGGCGGTGACAATAGCAATGGTCCCTTTTCTTCTCTCAGCGCGAGTAGTCCTACTGGACCATATCTGCAAAAAGAAGCTCGCATGGAGCAGGCGACCAGGGCAGGGATGCAGGCCAATCCGGGAAAGAATGACGGGCTAGAGGTGGGGTCAGGGAGCGAAGACGAAGAGGAGATGGGCATCCCAGACGCTGGGGGGAAGGAGAGGGTGGCCGAGCTTTTGCTCGGGTCGGACCAGGATACAGTGCCTGCTCGAGACAGAACACAGATGCCGGCCTCTGCTATGGGGAACCGTTTCAAATCGCCTTCGAAGAGGCGTGTCGTTTCGGACGGGGGCCAAAGTGGTCCAGATAGCAAGCGGAAGAAAACCGAGAAGGGGAGTCGCAGGGAATCGGTGGCGCATGGAGCAACAAAGGAGCAACCCATAGAATTGGAAGACGATTGAGATGTGTGTACCAGATATTGTATTAGTAGGGCATATTCCGACGGGTCATATTATGTCAGCAACATTATAATAATGCATGGTCTGGAGAATCTGTAGCTGGTATATGTGAGAAGTGAAGTAGCCTGGCCATTTGCAGTGTTGGAGGGATGATGGCCGATTGAATCACGAAGATGGCTCGGAAATGTGTCCTTTGAAGCCCTGATCGGCGAGGTTCCACCACGACCTTGAATTGAGATCGGAAGGATGGAAATACGGGCAGCGACTCTTGAAGGCTAAACTTTCGTGAGCTGATGTGCTGATCTACGAGAGTCGTCACTTGCCGTCGAGAGTTCGTTTTCTGATGATTGCCTCGATACTTTCTTCACTTGCCAATTGATCTCCCTGATAAGAGTATCAGTGGGTGTATCATGATATCACCAGGGTACTTGCCAATACTTCCGCTTCTCTCAGGCCACGAGCATGTCCGCCCTCCTGTACGTTCACCTGTTCAGAAGATTTGACGGATTGCTGACAAAAAGTCAGAAGAGTCTGTCGGTGAACCCACCCCTCTGTCTCGTCATGTCAGCGAATGTCTCAAGCTTGAAGGGGGCTTTTGACTGACCCATCATCTCTGCCCAGAGCTTGACACACATCCCCTCGGCGCCGTCCATGGATTTGGCAGGAATCCAAGAAGAGCCTAACGTCCGTGACTGATCTCTGAGCTCAGCTTGCGCCCTGTTCAAGCGGATGATGATCTGGTCGTCCAGCTTGCGGTACTGCCGCACGATCTCTGGGTTCTCACGTAAGCATACACAGGTGGAAGTGTGGTGTGCGCACCTCTGAAAACAGTGAGATTGAAGCAGGTGTCGGCAGTGACGGTGACATGCTTCGGGGGCGGGGCAGGGAACGAGTCAGTGTATGCTGAGGGGGTGCCGAACGGAAGATACGGCATGGTGTGCAGGGCGGTCAGGTATGCAGAATGCACCAGGTGGCAGTTGGGTGGCAGGCGCAACAAGAAGCGGCGGCGGCCGGGCCTCGCTTGTTCTTATCAACCGCCAGGCACGCCACAGTGCGCTTTCCCGTAAAATTCCGAGCCGACTCGACCCAGAGATAAAGACTGTTTTCTGAAATTTTGGACTTGTTCTTCACACCCGTTTCCAAACAGTCTTTGATACCATCCAGGTGAGCATCTCCTCCATCCCCTCCCCCTCTCTCGACGTGATGACCTTCATTCTCTCCCCGTCTAATCGACCATGGCGAATGAGTTAGAGCGCTCCTTCGCAGGAGATGCTCGGAACCCCTCCCTCTCGAGGGCGGGTTCATGGCGCTTGCCAGTGCCTTTGTCTGATCTCCAATGTTCCTTCATGCTTGCTTGCTCTTGTTCTACGAACATCACGCTGACTCGCATGTCCTACAGGTTTCTTTCTAGTCACCCTTCTCGTGAGTCTTTGTCTTCGTTCACTTTCCCCTCAATTTTCCCTTTTCATGATGAGAACCATTTCAAAACCATACGCAGTTTCCACTGAACGCGTCCTCCTCGCCGGGAGTTTGTCCTCGTCCTTTCTTTCGGCACTGTCCCTGTAACCGAGTCGAGTCGACTCTAGTTCCAAGTAGAACCTCTTGTTGAGCTGGAGACGATTCCTCAATCTCAGGCTTGGAGCAATCCGAGCAGCCGACGCTGTCGACAAGGAAGGACTTGGCGATGCTAGTTTGAAGTTTCACTTCCTTGGATGTCTGAACCCATTTTATCCGTCAACTTTTGGTCGTGAAAAAAATCAAGGAAGGAAAGTGGCTGACCATCTGTTTGTTTCTGTACATGTTCGGATATGCAGTCTTCTATATACATACCCTCGTAGTGAAAATGGTTGCTTCTGCTGAGAAGAAGGGCAAGGTCATCCTGGCCTACTCTGGTGGTCTCGGTGAGTTGCTCACAACCTTTCACCGGGGCCATCAGCTTATGCAATATGAATTCTTTTGAACAGACACATCTTGTATCCTCCTCTGGCTCATCGAACAAGGCTACGAGGTCGTGGCTTACATGGCCGATGTTGGACAGGAGGAAGACTTTGAAGCTGCCCGCACCAAGGCCATGAAGTGTGGTGCCGTCGGCTTCCACCTTGCCGACCTCAAGCGAGAATTCGTCGAGGAGCTCATCTACCGTATGTTTCTTCATCTTACCTTTGTTCTCTTTTTTAACGATGCTGCAGCTGCCGTCCAATGTAACGCCATCTACGAGAACGTTTACCTTCTCGGTACTTCCCTTGCCCGACCCGTCATCGCCCGAGGCATGATTGAAGCTGCCGTCAAGGAGGGTTGTGACTTTGTTTCCCACGGCTGTACCGGCAAGGGCAACGACCAGGTCCGATTCGAGCTCGCCTTCTACGGTCTTGCCCCCAACATCAAGGTCATTGCTCCCTGGAGGTTGCCCGAGTTCTACGAGCGATTCGCTGGCCGAACTGCTTTGCTCGAGTACGCCGCCAAGAACGACATCATCGTTACCCAGACCGCTGCCAAGCCTTGGTCTACTGGTGCGTATCGTTTCATAGGGGCATCCGATTCGGCGCTAATGTCATGTAGACGAGAACCTCTTCCACATCTCTTACGAGGCCGGTATCCTCGAGGACCCCAACCAGACCCCTCCCGACGACATGTGGAAACTCACCACTTCCCCCGAGAAGGCCCCCGAAACACCCGAGCGAGTCGAGATTGAGTGGTCTAAGGGTCTCCCCGTCAAGGTCACCTACCCCGCCGATGGTACCGTCGTGACCGACGCCGTCGACATTTTCCTCTCCCTCAACCAGCTCGCCCGAAAGCACGGTGTTGGCCGTATCGACATTGTCGAGAACCGATTCATCGGTGTCAAGTCTCGAGGATGCTACGAGTCTCCCGCTGCCACCATTCTCCGTGCTGCGCACATGGACCTTGAAGGCCTCACCCTCGACCGAAACGTCCGAGCTATGCGAGACCAATTCATCACCACTGGTCTCTCCCAGATCCTTTACAACGGTTTCTTCTTCTCCCCCGAGCGAGAATTCATCACTGCCGCGATCCCCGCTTCCCAGAAGACTGTCAACGGTCTCGTCAGGCTCAAGCTCTACAAGGGCAACGTTGTTGTTGAGGGCCGTGACGCCGACGAGGGTCTCTACGACGCCAAGTTCTCTTCCATGGACGAGATGGGTGGCTTTGAACCTACTGCTACCAGCGGTTTCATTGAGATCTCTAGCATCAGGATCAAGGCTTGGGGCAGGGCCAAGTGAGTTTCTTCCTGCCTCTATGTGTATCGAGTCACTGACTGTCTGTTCAGCATCAAGCGAGGTCAGGACGGTGTCTCCCCCAAGGACGTCTACCACCGAGAATAATCTGACCTTTTCTTGGTCAGAACTGTCGGGTTGGTTGCGTTTGTGGTAGTCTAGAAAGAGCATCATATGTAGGGTCTTTAGAAGTTGTCTAGCAAGCATGATTGAATTGTATAGAGGGTAGATACCTGATTAGTACGTAGAAAATGGGAAGCAATAGTCACGCCGTAGCACAGGTGGATGCATATATCACAGTATCATTGGGTTTTGGTATTGGGGTGACTCTTTTCTGGATCATGTCTTGCCTACAACTGCTCAACTTGGATTGAACTTGGTTGGAAGTTGGAACCAAAAGAGCGGAGACAGCCGGCCAGGCGCGCCCTCGCGTTTGACGGATGTTCGTGTTCGTCGTCGGATCGTTGTATGTAATTCTTTGCGTTACGCTCAACATAGACCTTTTCAACCGACAACTGTTGATCGCATATCGTGCCAATCTCTCTGATCTATCCCCTCAAAACACTAGCGTTATAGCAAACATGACCATCCATGCCTTGTGGATCATCAGTAAAGCCGGTGGTCTCGTCTTTTCTCGATCCTACAGCGGTCTGTACTTTCCATCTTGATTCTCGCCTTGCTCAATTGGTCTGACTATCGAATGACCATACAGATGTCCTTCCCCCACTCCCGGTCAACACGATCCTCACACTCGCCGGTATCTTGCACGGTATACACGCCATCACCGCCCGCCTTACCCCCGCCCCTTCACCTGGTCAGCCCGTAGAGGGATTGGATAGTTTTGAAGCAGAGGGATGGGGAGGAAAGGTTTTCATGACGCCGACTGGTAAGTAAATATGCATGTTGGAGCGAAGAGGAAAGCTGATGAAGAATGAAGGGACAAAGTTTGTGGTTCTGCACTCTATACCACATACGGGCCTTGAAGACCTGGCGAGACGGATATACGAGATCTGTAAGTTTTCTCGAGTGAACGTTCGCATGTGTTCTGGGGATAGGTGCTCATACGTGATAGATGCCGACACTGTCATGAAGAACCCATTCCACACATTAGAGATGCCGATCAATAGCTCGTTATTTGACGAGAAGCTGGGAGGGCTCATCGGGGGTGTGAACGCTTCTTAGAAAGGAGTTACGTGTGTCTTGAAACCCCCGGAGCTGAATGTTGTAATTGTATGAAGGTCTTTGGTAATGCCTCGTCATTTCACATCCTCGTCGCCAAAGGATATATCCAGGTGGTAGTATCTGTATGAGGGCAATATGACTGAAAGGGATTGGATAGAGATACATGCTTCTGGATCGTCTTCTTTCACCGTGAACTAGTCTAACCGACCCAGGAGTTGATCTTTCCGTCGACAACCTTCTTCAGCTCTGACTTGAGCTCACCACTGCCGTCAACGACATCGATAGTAAGACCTTCTGTGCCGGGTGTAGTAGCCACCGCAAGGGCGGTCTGGGCAACCAGCTCTCGACTGCCAATCCGTTAGCATCAGGGTAATTTGATCTTGAGAGAAGGCTCACGAAGTAGGTGTCAAGTGAGTGCGGCCAAGCTGGACGCCTCCCGCGGGCTCGGTAGTCAAGCTTCCTGGTCGCAGGACGGTATAGTCGATCGCCGTGCGCTTATGGAGGTTGAGCTCCGCTGCCAGCTTTGCCTCCATGTCTAGGCCCGCCATCAGTATATGCTCTTGAGACATGGAAAAGAACTTACAGGTACCGAGACCTTTCCAAAACTTGCTCTCAGTGTCCTTATCCTGGTCATTGTACCAGTCTGGCACGGGGGAGTCTTTGGACCTGACGGCCACGGCTCCGATGAGGATCAGTCTCTTGATGCCAGCCTCTTCCATGGCGTCAAAGACCTTGACGGCGCCCTTGTGGTCGATCTCCTCCGGCCCGGGTGGTTTCCCGCCGGCGCCGGCAGCAAAGAGAACGACGTCAGGGCTGACCTTGTTGAAGAGGGAAGAGATGGAAGGCACGGTAGACTTGTCGAGAGGGAGAATGTGAGTGGTGGCTCCCAGCGCTTTGAGCTCTTCCTCGCTGCGAGCTCGTCAGCCTTGTCAGTAAGACGTGCGAAGACGACTGACTGTCCGTTGTCCTTGATGACGGAGTTGACCTTGTGGCCCGCCTTGACGGCCTGGGATGTGAAGAGCTTGCTGACCTTGCCGCCGCCGCCAAAGATGATAAAGTTGAGTGCCATTGTGGATGTATGTATGGAGTGGGATATCGCTGGCAGGGGTCTTATATGAAAACGTATGTCATTGCAGTCATCGTGACGGATTCGCCATCTCAGTCAGCCTCCACTTCGGCTCCCCGCCGGCCGCCCATTAGCGGGACCAGATGTGTTGTAGTCTATTACAAATGATTACAAGCGATTACAGAAAGGATGAACGTGTTGACCATCTTTGAATTCTGCGGATCGGAGTCTTCTCGAGTGTTCATTCTCTGCTGTCTCGGCGGCGACTTCCACTCCCTCCCACACCATGCCCTCCCACCCCCATCCCCGCGCACGGACCGCGCAGCCCAACGCCCCCAAGAGCCACGACCCCAGCGCCTGGCTCGGCTTCTCCTTGCCACCCCGCGCCCCGGGCCTCGGCGCCGCCGGTGTCCCGGGTTCAGGCGTCCCCGGCCCCCCTCCCAGGCGCAGCAGGCGCACCGAGGGCTGGAGGGGAGGGCCCATGAGCCGCGAAAAGTTCCTCAACGCCAGCTTCAAGTTCATGCTCAAGCCCACCGAAGTCTTGTCCTATGGAGCCCATTTCGCCGACCCCGATATGTGAGTGGCGGGTGGCCCATACCTGAGCTTCTGTTGACGTGCCATAGCCCTTTGCATTGGCCAAACATTCTTCAAATCCTTGTGCCCACGTTCAGCGCTCTCTCAGTGGCGCAGGGCTATGTGTCATCGTCTGCAGACGCGACCAGCGCCGCGTTCGAGGGAGTGCCCTACGAACTGGAAGAGTCGGGCGAAGTGACAGCAGAGAGAAGGCGCCGCATCGAAGAAGAGAAGCAAGGCAGGCAGTGTCCAATCTGTCTCAGCAAGCCTGTAGCAGGCAGAATGACCAAATGCGGACATGTAGGTACTGGACAATTGAAAGAAAGCGCACGCTGATATTGTCAAAGATATTCTGCTTCCCTTGCATACTTCACTTTATTCAGCTGTCAGACATTCCCAAATCTGCCAAGTGCCCAATATGCGGAGACATGGTCCAGACAAACATGCTCAAGAGTGTCAAGTATCTCGATGCCGAAGGCATGTTGGGCGCCGAGCAAGATGAAGATTCACTCGACGCGAAACGAGCTGGACCTGTCGTCCACGCGCCGCCACCTTCCGGCTACGAAGACTCCCTTCGTGAGGCCAAAGCACTCGACTCTACTCTTGATACGTCTCAACCGGAGGCTTCCACTTCCCGCCACAAGCTCCACATGCGTCTCATCCAGCGTCCCCAAATGACCACGCTCGCCCTCCCTTCATCGCCCACCTGGCCTTCTGACGCCGTTCCTCCCCACGCGGCCCCCTGGTACTTTCTCCCCGACATCATCACCTACTCCCGGTACATGCTCGCCACATCAGATTACATGATGCACGAGCTCTCTCGCGAACTCGCCGAGCTGAGAAGAGAGTGGGATCTGTTGCGAGGTGATGAGCTTGGAAGGGTATTTGTGAGGGCCGCGATGGACAAGGTGGAGGGTCAGATGGAAAAGGTCAAAATGGAACTCGAGGCAGATCTGGCCAAGAGGTCGGAACGTAAAGGCCGGGAGGCTTGGGCGCACGCTGTCGGTGGTGAGCGGTTGGAACGGGAAAGAAAACGGGCGAGGGAGAGGAAAGAGCAGGAGCGGATCCAGAGGGAACAGGAACAAGAAGTGGGTGATGTCCTGGTCGAGTTTTTCGCAAGTCAACAGACTTCGTTTGACAACTCTGCCAATATCGATATCCCTCCTAATCTTCCTGTCACGCCAAATCCCATGCCGGATGTGCCTCCAAAAAAGCACAAGCGTCGCTCTCAGCAACCAGCCCTACCTCCGCCTCCTACGCCTCCATCTCAGTCGTACTACTTTTACCAGTCATCACTGGGCACGAACGTGTTCCTCCACCCCTTAGACATACGAATCCTTCTCGCGCATTTCGTCACCTACAGCTCTTTCCCGCCTGCCCTGACTTTTAATGTTCAAGGTTGGGAGACAGCGACGATTACCGAAGACTTGCGCAAGCGGTCCAAGTATCTATCACATCTGCCTGTGGGTACCGAAGTCGTCTTTATTGAGACAGACCTCTCTGCCCTCGTCTCTCCCGCCACTTTATCCCAATTTGACCAACCCCTCAAGGCGCGGCGCCAAAAGCGCAAAGACAAGGTCCGCAAAGAAGACCGTGCCAAAGCCCGCTGGGAAAAGGTTGAAAAGGACAGAGTCGCGGGAGAAGTGCTGCCGAGTGTGAGGAGTGTACCGAGTGCGTTTGTGCCCGGCGGTGTGGTGGAGGACGATCAGCTGGAGATGGTGTTGCAAAGGTCAATGAGAGAGTTTGAACACGACTTTCCGGCAACTGCGCATCAAAGCTATCCTCAACCTGGGCGACAGCCTTCTGCTGTATCGTCGAGTCCGCCCACAGCGGGTGCTCCGCCATGGGGTACAGCGCAGTCGGCATCAGCGTCAGCGTCAGAAGATCAGCGACAGCGCTCGTTCGCCACTGCCTTGCACAGACGATACAATCCCGCGACACGGATGGATGAAGAATTCGACCCGGCGTGGGAAGCGTTTGAGGCGCTCAATATCGGGGGAGAGGAAGTTCCGAGAGATGTTAGAGAGACTGAAAGAGGAGGAGGGCAAGGGGCGGGGCGGAAGAAGAAGAAGGAGAAGGGGAAGACACTTGTCTTGGGTGGCGGTGGTGGGCGTAGGGCATAGAGCCGTCGAGTGAGACGGGTCAGAAGAACATATAAAAACATCATTAGCCCTTGGCATCATCTTGCATATCTTTCAATCATGATTCAGACGGTGCCACCAAGCTCCAATCTTGCGACGTTCAGTCAAACCATCAGACAGGTGAATACTGGATCGATAGCTACAGGACATTTCACAAGCCCCACTCTACCAAGCCATCACCTTTATCTCTGCCGGGCAGATATCGTGACTGATAGACATCATGACTGATTATACAGTCCGGCTGAGAGGCAATGTTGACTGAGAGCACAAGTTGGCGTGGTTCCGGCGCGCGAGACTGGTGAGCCTGAGGACAAGAACGCCACAGTTGAAACTCCCTGTCTGGCCATGTATGCATGACAAATATGATTTGCACAACCATCGAGCTATTCGTGCTATACGACCAATGCAATGCGATTGTAATCTAAACAAACTTCCCCACAACATCGTTGACCTCCTTTCCTCGGTCCCAAGCAAGCTTGCCTCCAAGGTATGTCTTCTCCACCAGCCCCTTGAGCGTCTTACCAAGGTACGGCGAGACTTTGTTCTTGAAACGCAACGTGTCCTTGAACCATTGTCAGCCATGCTCGAAGCAGAATAAGAACACGCTCACGAGGGTCACTTCCCATTCCGCATTGGGGTCAAACACCACAAAGTCCGCATCAGCTCCAACCGTCAGTTCGCCTTTCTTTCCCTCCAGCCCCACCTGAAGGGCCTGCTTATACCCCATCCACTCAATGATCTGACCGAGATCCACACGCCCTCCCTTCCCCCCCAAGAGAGTCCAAGTCAAAGACAGACCAAAGCCAAGACCAGATACGCCTCCCCAGGCAGACATGAAATCGCCCTTCTTCAATTCGGGCACGCAGGGGGAGTGGTCAGAAACGAGATAGTTGATGGTCCCATCCAGGAGAGCTTCGACAATCAATTTGCGGTTGGCCTCATCTCGAATAGGCGGGCAGCACTTGTACTGTGTGGCATTGTCGGGAATGTCCTCGCCACTGAGACAGATGTAGTGGAAGCATGTCTCGACTGTCAGGTTGGACAATCCCTCTTTTCTGGCCTTTTTGATCAAGGGGACCGCACCGGCAGCCGAAAGATGAACGATGTGGAATCGCAGCCCAGAGTACTTCCTTGCGAGGCGGAGAATGAGAGACAGAGCATCAATCTCCCAAGTGGGGGGGCGAGAGGCAAGGAATGTTGAATATTGAGTAGGGTTAGGAGGACTAGAAGAGTGAGGATGAGAGTCCATCTCGGCGTGGAACATGACGAGAGCATTGGTACCCTGTCGCCCGCGTCAGTCGGAGAACGGGTACATTTACAAAAACCCACCTCAAGAGCGTCACAGGCTTTGATCAGGTCTTGTTCGTCCACGCAGGGGAATTCCTGTGGTACATCAGCATTTCACACAATCAAGGTGTTTTCACACTCACATCGACTCCCGACTCGATCAAGAAGCACTTGAATCCCTTGACGCCCTCTTTCAGCAATGGCTTGAGCTCCCCCGCGTTCCCCGGAATGATACCACCCCAAAAGCCCACATCAGTCTTGATCCCAACTCTCTTTGCTTCTGCCTGTTTGGCATACAGTCCTTCGACTGTGCAGGTGGGGGGGATTGAGTTGAGGGGCATGTCGATGAGGGTAGTCACACCGCCGGCGAGGGCCGCCAGCGTACCAGTCTGGAACCCTTCCCATGCTGTTCGACCTGGCTGGTTGAGGTGAACGTGCGTGCTGGAGTATTATTAGAAACAGTCACCACGGACATTTGTGACCTACTCTAAAAGACCTGGGAGCAGGACTTTGCCCTCAGCCACCTCAATGAGATCCCCCTCGACAGCGTCTTGAGCGAGGCCGCGGTGGATGCTGGTGATGACGCCGTTATCGTATACGATGGTGGCAGGCTGTGGGGCGTGGCTTCCCGGGAGGATGGCGAGGGGGGCGATAATGGTCTTGGGCATTGTATGCGATTATAGGGAGTGTTAGGGAGTAACAAGACTCGAAGAAAGGCATTTTATATCGCGGCCTGCCCGGCTTATCTGCTGATAACGATTTGCTCCCGTCCCTCCATGTGCCTCGGCGGCCGGCGATCCACAACAAGAACAGACCTGCATCTCTGCTCAGAGTTCGATATAGCCTCGAGACGAAAAGCTTTCGCCCTTCAGCTGCAAAAGATCTAACTTGGTCGTTCTGGCTTACTCTTCCCAAGAACACTGAAACAGAGGTATCCGTGATTGGCCAGTTCTGTCGTCGCAGACCATCCCGCCCGCTATCAGCGCCCGCATTCCGAGGATTCAATGCAAAGAGCGTCGATGCTGGAGAGTGGAATCATCAAGTGACGCTGACATTTGAAATGAAATGCTATCTAAGATCTAAAACGGTATACATCACATCACTTAGAGCGTGAGCTTGCCAACAGTCACCCAGTCAGCAACATCCCCCACGCATCTCACAATCTCAATCTCTCCAATCTCCACCTCTCCGAAACCGTCCTCCTTGCTTTCCTTGTTGGCCTCAGCAGAGATAGAGTCTCGCTTCTCGGCGCTGATGTCGCCATAGAGCAAGCTGAGATGGGGAAAGTAATCGCTCTGGCCGGGAACGCTGAATGCTTGCTCCACCTTTTCGCGCAGCGCCAAGAGCTCCTTGGTGGGCTCAACAGGGGCAAGAACAGACTGAAAGTAAAAGTCCCCCTTTTGAGCAGCCTTCAGCTGAAGCTTCCACTCCTGCAACCCGCCGAGCTCCGCAACGATCCGACCCAAGGTGTCTTCGATTTCTCCAAGGGGGACGTCCAGAGAGACAGGGGCGAGGAGGGTGATGTGGGGCTCAAACACAGGGGCATCCTCGGAGAAGGTTGCGAGGTGCTTGATGAGGGATTGGAATTGATATTTCTGGGGAGAGGCGGGGGAGAGCCAGAGGGTGTAGCCTGGAAAGCGGTGAGCTTGCTACTCGCAATCTGAGAGGTGAGACGCACCTGTAAGAGGAGGGGCTTGGGGAGCGTTGGGCATTGTGTGGGTGGGATTGACGGAGGAGTTGAGGATGAAAGATTACATTGCTCCATACTTCGCTTATCCTGCGTCACTGACGGCCGACGCCGCCTCGGTGCCCGCCGGCCTTGATACAGGTGTTGACTGGCAACGCCGACGTAATCTTCTCATTCCTGCCCGTTCCCAGAGACAGCCCCAGCCATGCCCAAAGACGTGCACCTCGTCCTCCTCGTCCATGGCCTGTGGGGTAAGCAGCTTCTACTGCGCTGCATTTTCGCCACTGACCCCTTCCAGGCTCACCAACGCACATGGCTGTAGCAGCCCACGAGCTCGAAGCGGCGTACCGTGTCACCCAGGCTTCTGTTTCTTCAGTCAGATCCAAGTCAGTCTCGGCTTCTGGTCCAGAGGAGGACCCGGTTGTCACAGAGAAGATCGAAGGAGGGGAGCAAAACGAAGACTTGGTTATCATGATAGCAGGAGGCATGTCGGCGCAGCTGACTTATGACGGTGTGGACGTATGTGCCAGTCGTGTCGCTTGGGAGGTGAGAGTTCCTGTCCACTGGCATCACACAATGCTTACGTCCTTCAGGTTGATCAAAAGATACAGGAACTCGAAGACGAAGGGTGCAACGTGACCAAATTCAGCGTCACAGGGTACTCGCTCGGTGGACGCGCGTCTTTCTAGCTTTTCCTCATGATCGATGCTGACAAGGTGCACTGCAGTGGTCTCTAGGTACCTCATTGGTCTTCTTCACTCTCGTTCCCCACCATTCTTTGAACGACACCGGCCGGTCTCTTTCGCGACTCTGTCCACGCCCGTGAGTGACCTTCTCAAATGGTGTGTGGCCACTGACAAGGTATACAGCACTATGGTGTACCCCGCTACAGTGTGTCTCGATGTCACTTTTCGAATTACGGGAGCTGACTTGTGCCAGACACATTCCTTTCGACAACATTATGCTGGCTCGGCGCCCGGATCCTCTCTCGCTCTGGTGAACAACTCTACGTCGCTGACCGTTACTCGGATGAAGACCCTCGGCCATTGTTGGAAATTATGGCAGACCCTCGTGAGTTAATCAGCTGCTTCGCGAGGCTGGACTGACGTCAATGAAGGCTCTGTCTTCTATACCGGCTTGGAACAATTCGAGAGACGGGCGATCTTTGCAGCCGCGTAAGCCTCCCCACTACCAATACCTGTCCGAATCTCGCTCTGAACCTGGCCTTATAGCATCAACGACAACTCTGTCCCCTACCCCTCTGCCTCAATCTCCCCTACCGACCATTTCTCCCAATGGGCCGAAACAGGCATACAAGTTGACGCCAACGAAGCTGGCTTCATTAGACGGTGGTGGGTTGAAAAAGAGGAGGCAAAGGGCAATCAGGTAGTCAGAACACCAGGAAAGAAGTCGAAGGGGCGAAGCTTGAGTGATAGAATTGGTGTGTTGCCACCTGTCTTGAGGTACCGGTTCCCATTCAATTATGTCTGTCATCGTTTCTGGGCTCATTCTGTACGCAATGAACTGACACTCGCCACAGATCATACTGCTCCTTTTCCCGATCATGCTTCCTATCATCATCCTCCTGATGTGAGTGCGCTCAATATCGTGGCGAGATCTACTTGACCATCTCTATACAGACTTGCGCGCCAATCGCTGGACACTTCTCGATCGTACGTATATATCTCCCCTTCATACCTAGAGCCCAAATGAACCATCAGCAGTCGGAACCGCCTTCAACGTTTGGCCCGCGCCTCCCCAACTGCCACTCCGTCTGCTATCCCCTCATCCCACGGTCTCTCCATTCAACACCTCCGTGAACTCATCCGCCGCGTTGAGCACTCACTCGAAGCTGATATCATACAATCATCCTCCGGCCCCTCCCTTTCTCCAACTGAAGTGAAGGAGATGGAGGCAGAATTGCGAAAAGTGAGAGAGGTGGGTGACGAAGGTGAGGCGAGTGTGCAAGTGATTTTGAAGGAGAGTCAGGCGAGGATGTGTGTTTGGTTGAATCGACTGGGTCTTGACAAGTATCTGGTGTGGTGGCCGGAGATCTCGAATGCACATGCGACAGTTGTCGTCAGGTGAGATTCAGAGTGCTTGCGATATCATGGGATGCTGACTGGACCACAGGGACCTCGACATTCATCCCGCCCATGAGCGTGGGCGCGGCATGCTCAAATTCTGGGCACAAGTCGTCCTTGGTCAAGCCACAGAGATCGTATAGACATTTTCTGTAGATCTGTGATCGCACATCACTTGTGTAGTAGAGTCGTCTCTTTGGAAGACGACCGCTTGAAACATCGGAAGAATGATTATAACGTGAATGCTGCATTGAAATGTCTACAGTTGTATATATACGAACAAATCTGGCATGTCAATATTGCCCCCACAAGTATAGAGACACCGTCCCCAAAGGAAGAATCCAGTACATCCCCGCTTTTCTTGAAGGCGCCACCACCTACACATAATGTCAAACGGTAGAGGACTTGAACGCCACATCTTCTTTTCGTGGGCAACATGCATAGCCACGTCAAGCAGTATGAATGGGAGTAAGACTGGGCGATGCGTTTGAGCCCTACATATGGTGTCGTCTCTCAGACTCTTCAAAGGCGATGAGCCACTCGTCCAAACCCAGCCCCCTTAGCTTATCCAGCGTTTGACCATTCAATGCTGCTACATCTGGTCCCTTGTCGATATCGTTTTTGACTGGATCATTAATGGATATTTGATCAACGGTGTTATTGTCAGAAGCTATCAGGTTTGGATCAGCGCAGATCCCGGGTCCATCAGCCGGTTACTGACCCGTAAATGATGTGGCAGCCCAGTCCTTCAGCGCAGTAGTGACAATGTCAAGATCAGCCTCGATGACGGACGCAGCTACTCGATATTAGCATCGGAAATTGGAAATTGAGAGAAGAGCTAGAAAAGTACGCACCGCTGAAATCGCCCAACAACTGAAGCCGCTTTGATTCTCGCAATAGTATCATCGTAGCCTCATTCCAGCTGTATAAGGTGTGTCAGCATGGGAGACCAAGAATGACCAGAGGAGTGTTGTCACATAGATATGATGAACAAATCATAACCGCTCGACATCTGTGGACATATCAGCACAGAACCAGGTAAATTGACAGACTTACCATGTAATTGCCGTATGCGCAGACAATATTGACAGTTCGTCGAGCAACCAGCACGGCTTGGTCATTCTCAGCATCAGCGATTTGTTGTTCCACGTTTGCAGGTATGCACTCGCGAATAAGAAGTGCTAGGACAATCTAGGTCAGAAGTGCCTGCGAACGCAGAAAACGAGGCATGTATTTACCAGTACCATGGCATCCCTCTTCAAGTTTAGTCGTGGCATGCTCACATCGCTCCCTTCATCCCATCGACCCCATGGACATTTATACCCTTCCGGCAGCCGTTCACATATGAGATCCAGCACCTTTTTATGGCTTACAAACGCTGCAGGATTACTGATTAGACTTAATTGGGAGGACACTGCGAACCTTCCCCTAGCGGTCTCCGGAGACGTAGTACTGGCTGTGGTTGGGCTGAATGTATTTTGGTAGATCGACAAAGAAGTCTCAGGTGGGGACTCAGGTCTGAGGGCGCGAAGGCTGACTGAACGGGAGACCATGGTGAGGGCTTTGAGGCGCATGATATGGAACGAATCGGGACTGGCACCAGGTGGTGGCTGATATGATGGGTCGAGGGCGGTCGTAATCGAGATATCGATATCATCAGACTCGTTTAAGAGACCCTAGCAGGGATTAGCGGATATCAGAGCGGACGTGTTATCGCTTACCAAAACATAATGGTCGAAAGGACGAGGAAGAGGAGTGGTAATGTTGTCAACATCGAGACCGAGATCCCACAGGTAGGCAATGGAGGTAAGCTGGTCGATTTCGTAGACTGCCCAACTTGTGTTCCAGTCAATGAATAGACAGCTTGTCTGCCAAATGACCGCTCACAAAGCATGTATCCTCTCAGCCAATTCAATCGCATCCTCTGCAGGAGGAAGCGCATAACCACCTATTCTGAGCACAAATAACGCAATGGAGTTGCCGATTGGGACGACTGGCTTCCACGTCGAAGATCCTATCCTATGCAGGCCGCATACTGTCACCGTCCTGATCGCCGCACCAGCCATATGATACCCCTCGTTGTACCTATGAACAGAGACGAGGTAATTCGTCATGAGAGCGGTCGCTCGGATGACATCAAGTAGTCTGTCACATTTGGTGATGCCGGTCTGAATCTGTCTCTCGGCAATTGCAAAGAACGACGCTTCCAGTCGGCGGAGAGCCGGATTGGTTGAACGACGACAGGCGAGGAGGTACATTGTGTAGAGGAGCGGTGGGTGGGGCCGTGAAGCAGGTGGAAGTGTGAGGCGGGTGTAGAATCGAGGGACGTGAAATACAACCCTGAAGGCGCCGGTCCTGCTGAAGAACAGGTCGAGTCTGCACATCGTGAGCGCTAGTCATAAGGGCCGGGTATCTACTCACAATTGATCTCGGACAGCCGGCGGTACATTGTCCGGATCTACAAGGTCGCTTATCATTAACATGTTTTGTTCCTCTTGTAGGAACATGGGTGCAACACCTGCTGATTGCAGTGATGAAGAAAAGTCCATCATGGCCGAATCCAGCAGGTCGAAGTCGAAGCTGAAACTTGGATCTGGTGCTTGTAGGGGGCGAGGATTCCTCGAGATTAGCTGTGAGGAGGATGATGGCCCATCGTTTCTCGTAGTGGAAGTGGGAGGGCCGGTATTGCATGCAGTGGGCTGCTGTAGCAACAGCAACAGCCGCTCCTTGGCCTCACGCTCCTGCTGCAGCTCGGCCTCTAGTTCAGCTGAGACAGTGAGCACAAGTCACTCTATACCAGCCTTACCTATCCGACCTTTGAGTCTCTGGATGCTGCTCGTGGTCTGGCCAGAGTCATAGACACATTCCTTGTTCAGCCTTGCGCAAGAGGCACATGTCGGCTTTTCGGCACCGCACCTCTGCGCGTCAGCAGGTCAGTGGGAACCAAATGCAATCCACGCCATACTCACGATCCTCCTCTTGCGACATGACATGCACGCATCACCCCGTTTGAGAGCTACTCGCCGCGTCAGCCATTATTGCACCGAAGACGCAAGTGATATTACGCGCCCGTCTTGGTCGCCGGAGTGAGCTGGTTGTCCTCTGAGCTGCCCTCGTATTACTGTGTGGGAGGCATTGCAGATGTACTGATGCAGCTGGATGCATCTACCTGCGCACTTTGAGTCTCTAAGACAGACAGGACACGGCCAGAAATGACCTCTCGGACGGCCATCGATGCCCTGCGCGGCGGCCGGGACATTAGCTCATTTCTAATCGGCGTTTGTAATGCTAATACTGCCACACGCGCCGGTGTTTCAACAGAGACCAAATATAGGCTTACGTAAAGGCGTGACATCACAAAATTCCCTTTGTCCTCCACTTTGCAGCGCCAACGAGATTTCTATTCTTCTCTGACATTCTCAATCACCTATTACAACCATGTCCGCCCCCCAAGTCGACCTCAAAAAGCCCGAAGTCCCCAAGGAAGAGGCTGCCCAGCAGGAGAAGGGCCTCTCCAACGATGCGTGCGTTGCCTCCGCCGGCTCACGCGGCAGCACTAACTGGTTTCCAGTCTCACAAAGTACACCACCGCCGGTCAGGCCTTGACAGATGTCATCAAGAAGTTCATCCCCCTCGTCGCCCCCGGCAAGAAGGTCCTTGACCTGTGTATCGAGTCAGTCGGATATCAAGCATCAAAGGCGGTCGCTGATTCATAAACAGAGGTGACAAGCTCGTCGCCGACACTGTCGCTCCCCTCTGGAACAAGCCCAAGAACGGTGTCAAGGTCGTCAAGGGCTCCGCCTTCCCCACCTCCATCTCCGTCAACAACACCGTCTCTCACGTCTCTCCCCTCCCCTCCGACCCCGAGATTGTCTTGAAGGACGGCGATGTCGTCAAGATCATGCTCGGTGTCCACCTCGACGGCTACCCCGTCACCCACGCCGAGACCATCCACCTTTCCTCCAAGACCGACGGCCTTGCCGCTGACGCCATCAAGGCTGCTTACGAAGCTGCCCAGGCTGCTATGAGGACCGTCAAGGTCGGCGGAAAGAACTGGGACGTTACCGAGGTTGTCGAGAAAGTTGCCAAGTCTTACGACTGTGTCGGTGTTGAGGGTATGCTGAGTTGCCAACACGAGAAGGATGTCACGGACGGAAAGAAGAGGGTCTTGTTGAATCCTTCACCGGAGCTCAGGCGGGACCACGAGACCGTTACTTTCGAGGAGGGTGAGGTTTACGGTATCGACGTCTTGGTTGTTACTGGTACCAACGGCAAGGCGAGTTGCTATACTCTCATAATCGTTCTATGCTGACAGGGCTATAGTCCAAGGCCGAGTCTGCGCGAACTTCCATCTACAAGCGATCCGACATTAACTACCAGCTCAAGATGAAGACTTCCAGAACCGTCTTCTCCGAGATCACCAAGAAGGCTGGTCCCTTCCCTTTCTCTCTCCGTGCGCTCGATGACGAGAAGAGGGCGAGGATGGCTGTCCAGGAGGCCGTTACCCACGGTACGTATATGCCATCGTCTCATGGGCCTATGCTGATTCTCGATTAGGTCTCTTGAAGCCTTACGACATCACCCAGACTGCCGCCGGCACTATCGTCGCCGAGTTCTTCTTCACCATTGCCCTCCTTCCCGCCGGTCCCATCCTCTTGTCTCCCACCCCTGTTTGGTACTCTGCGTAAGTCATCCCGCGACTACAATTTGGCAACCTATGACTGACGTCGGGATACAGTGACAAGGTCTCCTCTTCTAAGTCTATCGAGGACCAGGAGCTCAAGGATCTCATTGCCCGACCCCTCCGTGCCCCCAAGAAGAAGAAGAAGGCTGCTGCCGCTGCCGCCGAGACCAAGGCTTAAGAGCTGAGTGCGCCTTGGTTCGAGGACAGCGTTGGGGAGAGGCCCCGTAAAGCGGAGGAAGCAGGTTAGAAGCACAATTTGAATTCCAAAAATAAGCAAAGAATCAATGCATTAACCATAGCCAACTCGAAAGCTTTTCCGGACATAAAGGGTTTCGTTTCGATGATTTTGTCGTGAACATGTAGATGTAGGCGTTTGCGAGATGAAGACAATGCGCAAGTATCGAAGGGGCCGATAAAGTCTGGCAAAGACCCTTTTGCAAGCACTACTGATCTTTACCGCTCTCCCTTGACGTGTACACCTCCAATACAACGCCTGTAATACCAAATCTGGCAGCCCCGTCGGCCATGTTGAACAACAACAAAGCGGCTGCAGTCAAGAGGGTGTACGCTAATTGTATTTGATCTGAGATTCCAGAGAAAGACTTGCACGGTTGCATCAAGCGCACATGGTCTAGGATAGCCGCACCATATAAGAGGCGCTCGCCACGGGAGGTGGCGGATGGCTGTTGTAATGTTGTTGCGGGTGAGTCAACCGACGCGTCGCGTCCTGCACTTGACAACGAACGACCTTTCATCTTTCTTCTGTCTTTTTCATTCTATCGTCCATAGCATATCTCATATAGTACCCCACAGCATATATCTTGCACCCTCGCCCCTCCCCTCGTCAGAGATGACCAGCAAGTCCAAGCTGACCAAACCACCTCCTCCCTTGGACATCGATGAAGACCCGGCGGCGACTTTGAGAAACTCAGCGCAGCCCCGACAGGCCGAAAGAGGCATCGAGTACATCCCTCCCTCTCTGGAAAGCGCCACCGACAATAAATCCCGCAAAGACAGCATAGGCGTCGTAGACCACCTTCGTCGAGCGTTTTCGCTGCACAAGTATCGAGGCCCGAGCAGAAAGCCAGGCGGAGGGGGTATGAAGAGGAATCAGAGCGATACGAGGTTTGATGCCAAAGTCAGTGAGGGAGGAGGCCTCAATGCTACCAAGAAGCTATGGAGCTATCCAACGTTCTCTATGAGGGATAAGACGCGGGAGGAGATCAGCTTTGAGATGATCTTGAAAGAAGAGATACCTGCACCCCAACCTCATCCCAGTCCGAGTAGCTTCAAAGGTATGTCTTTCCAGATTAAGGGTATGCAAGGACCAACGTTGAAAGGCCTTCACCATCCTCTTCCTCGACTTGGCTGCCACTCGAAATCATCCACGACCCTCGAACGAGACGCCGACCCCACATGGCCGCCTCCACTGCCTAAACCTCCTGCCCCGGCACCTCCGCCTAAGTCGACCATTACCTCTGCTCAGCTCGCCAACTTTCGTAAAGCGTCGGCGCCGATACTTCGGAGACGACCTCTCCCTCAACCCCCGGCTCCCTTCACTGACATGGGCCGCTCGTCCTTCTATCAGACTCAGGACGGCAGTATCCGTTACGCGCCAGCAACTATCAGGCTCGTCCCTCGGCCTTCGGCCCCACCTTCTCCTGTCCCAATGCCCTTTGGACCGAGCGCTACCTTCACCACCAGCACCCCCATGGCCAGAAGGGTCCACTCGGCGTCGAATGTCCTCGAGGCCAAAGTTACTAGAAGACCGACTGCGAGCTTGATGCCAAGGAAACCAGTACCTCGCTTTTTGGATGTACCATTTGAAGGGGATGACGGCCATATCTCGGGAGTGACAGCTTTCACAAGGTCTCCACCAGCATCGACTCCGAAGCCTACAAGGACTGCTACAGAATTCAGAGTAAGCTTCGAAGAGCGATTAATACCAAAAGCTGACCTTACCCAGAGTCAACACCTCCCAACGCCTCCTACTCCAAAGTACGACGTCTATGCCGATCCTTTTGTACCGACCCCATCAAGACGACCACCGGATACCTACGACGACTCTTACGAGCACTATCAGAATACTCTGTTTGAAGATGTTCTCAACACCTGGGGTCTCCCGCTTGATCTTTTGGCGCAATCCGTATCGCGCTCGAGGAGGGAATCCCTGATCGAAGCTAGCAAGTCCAGCCACGGCAGTCAAGCAAGTCGTACAAGTCGCCCCACCGGCCTTCAAATCTATAGCAAGCCATCAATCATGTCAATTCCTGCCGTCCCAACCCACCCGAGGCTTCAGAACCACAAGCCGTCCCCTCTAGGAGAGCGTCGAGTCTTCCAAAACCAGGTGACGTTCCAAAGTGAACCCAGAAGAAAGCATGGGACGGTGAAGAATTTTGTTTCGATGGATGAACGGAGGTTGAGGCAGCCTGTTGGTCGGGTGAAGGACATTGTGGATATCATCGAAGACCGTCAAGTAAGTCTTGTCACTTCTGGCTTCCTTGCGGTGAGCTAATCATTTCATAGGGTGACAGGACTATCACCCCGGTTAGAGGTAATGCTAGGTGGTGTCCCCTATCGTTTCCCACTGATAACACAATACAGAGTTGGGAAGAATCCTCCACCGACCATCATCCGTTTCTTCTGATAATCTTCACTCGGAGAGTAAACGTCTGAGTAAGTCACACTTTCGGGTCCCGGAGCAACTTGACATTGACGTGTCTTGATAATCAGTGAACGAGGCAAGGAGTAAAGCCCGCCCTCCAAGGTGGATCTAGTCCGGAGCCTCGAGGATGTGGTGGTATCATATCAAACGCCTCTATTTCATATTTATCACTGTTATCCCCGTAGTAATCGTTTTTAACAGCAAAGTGTTACCTTTTTGTGACTATAAGTGACCATCGTCTAAATTAATACACCTTTTAGTTCTGGCCAAATTTCATCGTGTGGCGGTCGTGGACGTTGTCTCTTTCTATGATGTAACTCCTGTAGCTTGTACTCGCCTCGAAGGCAAAAAGGTCTTGCGCCAGATGACACGACGTTTGCAGCTTTCAGTACTTTCTTGAGAGTGATAATAGTTGCCTGGTCACTGGCGGAGAATCTGTGACAGACCGACAACCATTCGGTGAACTCTCAACCTCTCGACTGTTTCACACAGATACAGTACATTTCTAAATGAGATTCTTCAGGATATATAGATTACAGGTCCTCAGAACTGACTGGCCCAACAAGCACCATCACGACCTTTCCTCGCTGCGTATTCTCATCCTTTTCGATAGAGATGTCTACCGTCACCTTATCGAAAACGGCGATTTCCACGTCTTTGCCATCCTTGGGGACAGAGATGGTGTAGTTTTCGGCATCGTAAGTATGCAGCTCTTTCTGGAATGTGATGAGGCCTTCGAGACCGAGTCTGATCCAGGATCAGCAGCGGCAGGAGATGTGTCGGGAAAACTTACTTGGAGACAAACACTGCCAACCCATTTCTGAAAGTTCTGATGACAAACGCCTCCTCCCTCCTCTTCTGTCCAATACCATCTCCCTTTCCTTTCAACGCCAATCCCACATAGAACTCGACACTCGCCCGTCCGGCCATCTGTGCCAGCCTATGCCTCTTGTTCACCACGTTCAGAATCCTCTCAACGTGCGATTTGGACTGTAATGACGGGTGGAGGGGAGTATAGTTGATAGCCGCGGAGAGCTGACGGTGGGCAAGAACATCGGCGTATCGACGAATGGGAGAAGTGAAATGAGTGTAGATGTGAGAGGCAAGACCATAATGGCCGTAAGTCTCTTTGGAGACGCTACCTGAACAGAAGTACTCGGCGGACAACATACAACGAGTCGCCATAATTCGAACAAGGGTGTTGAATTCCGGTTCGCCAGCCAGCTGTGAAGGTGTTAGCAAGGCGACATAAAGCAGAGTGTAATCACACTCACCACACAAGCATCGAGAGAATCGGCCAATGCCTTTGAACTTGACACATCCAAACCCATCCCCTTCCTCTTCTCCAAGATATCTTGCAACACTTCAAAGTTTGTCTTTGGCGGCGGGCAATGCCTCCTCAAGACAGCAGTCGCGGGAAACGTCTCTTGAATCTTGGCAGCCACACTGATGTTTGCCAACAACATGAACTCCTCAACAAGACTGTTGGTCTCACGCTGCTCCTTCTGTTCGACGTCGATGGGTTCGGCAGATTCGGAAGAGTTGAGGTGAATTTTGAGTTCGGGGGAGGAGAGGGAGAGGGCACCAGCTCGCATACGGGCCGCTTTCAGTTTGATAGCGAGGGTGTTGAGAAGACGGATGGAGTTGGTGAGATTGTCGTTCCGGGATCTGTGTAGTGTCAGTGGGATCTTGGAGAGCGGAGATTGGACTCACTTGTCGTCCTTGCGCAGCTGCGCGGCCTCATAGGTGAAAGCCTCCTTGGAAGCAATCACACTCTTCACAAACCTCACATTCACAATCTCCGCATCTTCATTCAACTCCCAGATCACACTGAACGCCAATCGCTCCACAAACGGCCGCAATGAACAGAGGTTGGTACCGAGGAGCGCGGGAAGCATGTCGATACGTTTGTCGACGAGGTAGACTGTTGTGCCTCGGGAGGCGGCTTCGCTGTCCATGGGGTTATCGGGGTGGACAAAGTGGGACACATCGGCAATGTCTACCTGGCGTCAGCGTGCCAAAGATGTAGAGAAGAAGGTAACTCACGGACACCGGCCTCAATGTTGCCATTAGACAGCCTCTTTGCATGCAAGGCATCATCGATATCTTGACATCCAGGCGGGTCGATACTGCAGATATCCAAACCTCTCAAATCTTCTCGGTCTCTCCATTCCAAGTTGTCTGGGTTCTTGGGAGGCACAACCCATTGGTCACCCTCGCTAGGAAGACAGTTGAGAATAGCTTTGCCGAAAGGTCGGTAGGGGACCTCATATTCAAGCAAAAGAGATTCCTGTTCTGCCTCTTTCGACTCGACTTTACCAAGAGCTCGAACAAAGTGACCGTCGGGGTACCTAGAGGCAATAGACCAATTGTCGATAGTCACAAGAATCTTTTGATCGAGTAATTGGGGAGCCTGGCGAGTCCTCAGTCGAATTCTGGGCAGAGCTCTTGAAAGGGGCGTCGCAAAGACGGTTTGTTGGGCGAGCGAAGTGAATGCTGAGTCGGAGAGAGAGGACCTGTCGAGATGACAAACATAGGCACGCCAGTTGCGCTTCACAATGCCGACAACCCGACCAGTGGGAAGGATCTCTTTCTTGTTCTTCTTGGCGTCTTGAGTTTCGAGGGCTTCGCTCTTCTCCTTCTGAATTTCCTTGTCGGGGACGCCACCAAACTCGTCATCTTCCACATCGTCATCTCGAAGAGCCACTGCAGGAAGTTAGGTAGGGTCATCAATCAGAAAAAGAGCTCACAGTCTTGGTCGACGACTTCCTCTCCGGGCGCCTTCCACTCGCTCTCTGGAAGGATTTCGACAACGACAACATCGCCATTGACACCTCGGTTCATATTTTTCCTGCCGACAAGAAGAACAGGTTTGTTGAGACCTGGGATATTGACAGTACCCTGTTCCGAGTCAGAATATATGATGACAATCAGTCAGAAGACTCACTTCGAGATAGTTGTACTGGTTGGCGTTGAAATGACCCTGCTGGAATCGGCCAGTCTTGACGCCAGCGACGAGAGTGTCTTGGGGGAGATACTGTATGACTGTCAGAACTGACCCACAACAAAGAGATGAGAGCTCACATCAGGATAAACCCTCTTGCTCCTCTTCTCGGCGGCTTCCACCTCGTCTACACCACCGACGACGAGATCCACTAATTTCCCTCGTTCTTCCGTCTCCATTCCGTCGACATACTCCTTTGCGCTAACAGCGTGAATTCCACCTTCGGCTGCAAGAGCCCTGTTGGCAGCATCATCGGTGAGGAGGATGAGCAAAGGTGGAGAAGTGGTGGAATGCAAGAGGTGCTCATTGTAGAATGAAACGGTCTGTCGGATCGCACGATCGTTACGGTCGTTGATCTTTTCCTTGACATTTCCATCGTCCACTTCTCTCACAGTGGCGGTCTCTCGACGCTCCTCGTTCCACCACACCCAGATGATACGATCCTCATCCTGGATAAGCTGTTGGAGGCGATTGTACAGAGGAAGAGAGCGATGTCGGGTTTCACGAATAGTAGTGGATGGGATCAAGAGGGGAAGGTCGGCAGGGAGGGACTGCAAGAGATCCATTTGATGGAGGACGATATTGGTGTCGATGACCAACCAATGGCCACCGAACTTGGCGTGTCGAGAGTAACCATTTCGGGGCAAGACGCGCTTGAATCCGGGAAAGTCTTCACACAGTTGGCAGTCCTCAAAGCCACAAGGGATATCGTCACGAACATAGCGCTCACGCAGCACTGCATAGTGTCAGAAGATTGATGACAAGAAGGCTGGGTGACATACAATTCATGACCTTTCCCCGGGCTGTTTTTTTGAGAAACTTGTTCTCTGAGAGGTGGACATCTGTCCTGTTCCTCTTGAGGATTGTGATTTTGGGGTGGGAGGGGGCGACCATGGGGGATGGATTTATGGAAGAGAGATGCGAACAGATGATGATGCCAGCAGGAGACAAAATATTGATCCCGTGCCTCCACTTTCCACTCTTCTCTATCTTGTCCACAGCCAGTATCGAGAGCCGAGGCGTACATATATAATTCTACAACTCTACTCTGGCCTACCCAAGTCAATCACCAGCATACTCGCATTGAAAACATCGTTGGCAATGCTCAAACGAACGCTCCTCGCTCGGGCGAAGGTGCCAAAGCCCATTATCGCCCCCTCCGCCTCAATACACCATTTCAGCCGCCACAATTTCCGACCGTGTCCGACTCTGCATGGAAAAGAGCGAAATACAAGATTTATCTCTTCCGATTTGGGCCGTACGGACCCTCCATCACTGTCAGAACCAGGAGTCACAACTCCAGAGGCGAAAGAGCCTGCAAGTGTCGGTGATGTCTCGAAACCGGTCGAGACTGCAAGTAGAGCAGTCGAAGGAGAAACATCGTCTTCACCTTCATCATTTACATCTGGATCCTCCGAACTGCTGCCAGCGTGGAAAGTGAGTTGACGGACAATCCTCTCCGAGCAATTATTGACAAACCAATCAGGATCTTCCCGTATCACCCGCCATTCTCGAACGACTCGCAGCGAGCTTTCCTCATATCACCACCCCAACCCCCTCTCAACGGCTGTTCCTCCTCTCTGTACTATCCGGGAACGAGGTTTATCTGAAAGATGGCATGGGGAGAGGAAAGTGAGTTTATATATGACGAGTACCGAGTTCGATGCTCATGTCTACAGAACGCTCTCTATATCACTTGCTGCTTTGCAACTAGCGTTGGATGCACAGGCCAAGAGTAAGAAGGCAGGGTCAGGGCCTAGCATAATACTTGTCGTCCCCTCGCCTCACTTGGCTCATCAGATCTGTGATCACCTCACTAAACTATGCCCTCCGCTCAAATCCTCCAACGACCCTCTACCTTTCGCTTTGATCACCCCCGAAATCACCCGCAAAGGCGAAAGTACCCCACTCAGACAACTCCCCGACTCTCCTATTGTGGTAGGCACTGCCAAGGCTTTCTACCAATATAATCTTGAAACGCCTGCCCTCACGCACGTCTTCTTGGACGAGCCAGATACCATGGTCGGCCCCATCCCCTCCCGCTTCGCCAAATCCGTCCATACCCACCCCCTCATCCGCCACCCACCTCCAATCGTCCACGTAGTCACTTCCCTGCTCCGGATAGGCATTGACCGAGATGGGCAGCTAGACTTTTCTGAGCGTCGCAATGGTGTCAACATGGTCATGACCAGCGCGACAATCCAGAAAGACTTCAAGCGATTCTGCAAGACGCGCGGATGGATACGGAGAGGGAACAGTGTGGTGGATCTGGATTTCTCTCTTGGGGCGTCAGATCAGCGGCGAGCGTTCAGAGAGCGACTGCTTGCGGTCATAGGCTCGCCGCCTGGTACGGACCCCATTGCTGCCGCGCGAGCAGAACAGCATCAGCCCGAGCATCATGTGCTTTTGATTGATGGAGTCACGGGCGATCTCGTCCCGCTGGATCCTTCAGGTCCTCCCGCAAGACTGAATCCTTTACCGGCGTCTCCACAAAGACAAAACACCCTCCCATCTTATATGGTAGAGTCTCTCGCCCTACTTCACTCTACCTCGCCTCCGCCACCAGGCAAATATGTTCTTGCCCTCCCGCCGCAAGAAATCAGTTTACCCGAGTTGGGCAGGGAATTAGCCTCCCTCGGTATCCCTACCTCTATCCTCACGCCCGAGACACTTCATGTCGGCATCCCATCTTTCCCCTCTGATATACTTCCACCAATCTTCCTGGCGGCACGTTCTTCCGTGCCAGGGCTTCACCTCCAAGATTTGTGGAACATCTACCTTCTGAACGGGCTGGATATCGGGTCATTGACGCCTTCGCAGCGAAAGAATAAGGGAGAGGTTGAGAGGGTGGTGTTTTATGATACGGCTGCGGGCCGTCTAGGGAGGCTGGGGACAGATTCGACAGCGGGCACGGAAGGGGAGAGACAGAAGGTTGTCAGTCTGGTGATGGCTGGGGGACAGGAGCACACGTGGCTCTCGAGATTATTCTCTGGAGAGTTGGAAAGGGAAGTCTCCGAAAACTCCCACAAAGAGAAGACGGATAAAAAGAGGATGCTAAAGCAGTGGAATATGGAGGTGCTGAATGCGGCCGTGGAACACGAGCTGGGGACATTGTAGTGGACAAGAGATAGCCATTGGGCATCGTATGCATCACACCACTGACGTACTCGATAGACCCGAGTGCCCATTCGGCCGCATACAACAGCTCACTAACCCGATTGCGCACGTCTATTCGAATGCCTTCCTTCATTAGCAGGGAATACTTCTCTCTCTCAAGTCGACCGGAAGGTCTTCTAAGTCCGATCAAAGTCTGGATGGCGCTGAGCTTGGTTTATGTGTGGCCTTATCGCTATTCATAAGCGGCGCTATCTGGCCCATCGTGGATATGTGACTGAATAGAATAATCAATGTGTTATCGTATGTGTAATAATTGTCCGTATAGAAAACCTCCACCATTTGTCTCACCGACCGCTCAATCAAGACGCATGATGGGTAAACCCAATACCCAATCCGATCCCAATCCCAATATAGAGTGAAAACCCAACCAACGCAGCCACTTTATTCACCCTTCGTAGTTTCTTCACCCTCTTGATCCCAGCTTCTCTCGTCCAACCCGGATCCTCTCCAGTCTCTTTGTCAACACCATGAGCAGAAGCTGATGTGAAGTTGGCGGGTAGCTTGGCAGCGGCGTCGGCCAAAGCATGATGGGAAAGCTGAGGATTGTGTGTCGAAGGAACTGTGGTCAGGGGGGTACCGCAGCCGGGGCTGTAAAATATGCTGCCACCGTCGGTCTTGTCCTCGTCACCGCTCGGGTGATGGGCACTATTCCCGCCACGCGGCTCGCTTCCTTTGACAGACTCGGGTGAAGCACTTTGCACTTGTTGAGGCGGGCACTCAGAGGCAAGGGAAGAGACGCTACTGCTGCCGCCGCCAGGCTCAGGGCTCAGTCCGCGAGGGCAGAAAGTTTCGGTGCTGCGAGCACTAGGAGCAGTCATGACAGTGCTCGAGGTAGAGGCTAGAGTCGAATGAGATTCTCTGTGGCGAATGGCTCGATGGGTGGGCACGGCGAGGCTGTCGGACTGTTGATCAGCGGAACGAGCGAGCACGCTGTGGAGATGTCCGGGCTCGAGCTCGTCACCACCACTAGATGTGACATCTTTAACGGATGTGCATGATGTAGAAGCTTCCCCAACTTGCCCTTTTTGAGTATCAGACGCTGGCATGTCGGGCGTTTCAGAGTGGGTAGTGATCCGGGGAACGGCCATTGAATAAGGATGATGACAAGAGGTGCACGCGTTCAGGACCGAAGGCACCCTGCGACACTGGTACAGTCTTCCCGGTGCTGGTGTCTGTCCTGCTACAGGTCGAAGAACGACCTGTTGACTGCCTGCTAGGGGCGCAGAATTGACGGCATTCTTTCGCTTTGCTTCATCCTTGACAGCTTGCCGGTCGGCCATGTCGTGGCGATCATCTCTATACCACTCCCTCAATTGTTTATTGCCCACAAACCATCCCCCAACCAGCCAGCAAAAAGGGAAAAAGAACCCTGTTAAGAGGCAAAACCAAAGCCAATGAATGGTCGACTTTTGCTCGAGGACATATTTGTCGCGCCTGGCAGGACAAACGGGATCTGGTAGCTGAACTACGCGGTCTTCAGAGGGGGAGGATGGAGATCGCTGCTTCTTTTGGTGAAATGTGTACACCACATGCTCGGCGGCACTTTTTCCGCCGCGCGCTTTGCGCCCGGCCTCAGTGGCGAAACGTTCGGCTGCGGTAGGATGAACAACATGACCCGAGCTGCTCCCAAAGTCCTCGGCATAATATGAGGTGCTGGGCGAAATGAAGGCTATGGTGGGACGGCTCTCTTCGTTTCCTTTTGATTGTAGCTTTCTCGCTTCCGGGACGCTGAGAAGAGTCTCGCTCTTGGGTATAGTATGTCGGATGGAAGAAGGGACATTTGGTGGCTGGAAGGAAGGTTCCACGACGGCCTTGTGGAGCTCGACATAGTCTTCGCCGCGCGGCATGCGAATGGTAATGGTGACAGGCTGTCTTTCCTCTTCGGGATTCTCATCACTGTCAACCGGAGCCGGGACAACGTCGACCTTCTCCTGAGCAAGCACAACGTCGGTAAAGTCGCTCGACTTTGTTGACTGTTCACCATTCGTCTCTGCAGAAGCTGATTCTTGGGTTGGAGCATCTTGCTGAATCGTGTCGATAGTCTTGTCTTCTTCAGAGACACTATCGCCCACCTCAAACGGCTCATACTGATACGCAGGTGAAGCGTAGAGCACCGTCTTCTTTGAGATAAGCTCAGAGAGATCACCGTCGGCTGTGGCTCTGGAGGCTCTATTGGCTTGGGTAGGAGTCAAAGGCTGGGGGGGTGGGACGATCGCTGGAGGACTGGGAGTCATGTTACGAGTCATGTCGGCGGTAGCGATGTAGGCCGAGAGCGCTGCATCCTGCTCGGTGTGAAACTCGGTTTTGGGCGAAGGTGAAGGTGGGCTCTCAGCGACAGGAATATCCGCCTTGTCACCGAAAGCATCCTCACTGGACCCCATGTCAATACTGGAAGACTTTTCGGTCAACACTTGGGAGGTCTCTCGAGTAGTCTCCGGCTTATGGTTTTCGGTTGAGGGAGCGATGATCGAGTCCCGGGTGATTCCGCCTTCATCCATGCTGACGCATTCTCGCTCTACGAGAGCGTCAAACGACAGAATTGACTCTGTCACCAGCCCTTTCCCCAGCCCTCCAGCAAGACCTCGGCTTTGGAAGCTGGATTGGTCCGATTCTTCCAGAGCAGTACTTCCGAAAGAGAGATCGCGGCTGCCGCTGAGCTGCTCTGAACTGTCCGTGGAAGATAGCTCTGTAGACTCTTGCAACTCTTCGACTTCTTCGGATTGTTCCGTGGATGACTCGGTGAAAGGTCCGCTAGTCGATTCATCCGGGAGCGGAGTGAGATACGGCATAGAGTCCGAGTAAGAAAGCTCTCGGCAAGGGGGAGAAGTGTCCTCGTCGATTTGTGGAGAGAAGAAGTCGAGGTCTTCGGGGAGAACGGAAGTCGAGTATTCTAGGGTACACGCGGCTTCGGAGCAAGACTACCAAGTATGAGCAACTAGGACAAGAAGCAGCTTGGACATACTCACAGCGCTGGGAATGGCAGATTCATCCGACAAAGCACCAACTTCCGAACTCTCATCATACCATGGTCTTCCCACTTTCTCCCCCGACTCAACTGCCGTCATTCGCAAGCTGTCCGCCAATTCCAAATGCTCCGTTGACTCCAGCCGGTCCGCCCATTCGTCCATGGAGTCCAGCCCGCGCCTCTGGTCGGAGGGAGATTCAGCCGAGGCGGTAGCTGGAGGACTGCGGATCGGCGAGCCAGGGATGAGCGATGGTATTCGCGAGAGTTTAGATGTAGCGTAAAGCTGTGGTTTGGTGTGACTGGTGGAAGAGGATGGGGCTGGGCGAGGAGGAGAGCCATAAGCCTGCGGGGATTGCTGGTAGAGGCCGAGAGGGTGTCGTTTGGCCAGAATAGATGGGAGGCTTGTTTGAACTTTGAAGATGGCTGCTTGGTATCAGAAATCGTGATCGTCAATCGAAAAGAGATTGACTCTTTGTAGGATTGCTCTGCACTCCATCCCTCCATGGGCTGTCCATCGGCACGAACGGCTGGACCGCTGCAAACCCGATAGTAGGCGGGCGGTGAAACCCCATGTTGAACGACAATGATGGCTCATTCTCCTTGTTGGATGATGTAGAAGATGCGGCGTGGGACTCGAGCTCGGAGGCGGAGGGAGTGATTTCGAGATTAACGCTGGCGGACGGGCGACGGCGGGTGGGAGTTGAGTAGGGCATGTTGGGTGATGGAGGATCGGTGTGGGGTGGCGTGCTGGACGGTGTCAGCGTATGGGCAGAATCGACGCAGCACTCACATTCAAGGAGAGACTGGGGTGAGTAGAAAGCGACTATAAGACACGAGGAGAGACAAGAAGATATAGGAGGATAAGATGCAGATGAGAAAGCGAGATGCAAATTGCAGCAATTGTCAATCGCAAAGGATACCAAAGTCACACGCGCGCCTCCACTTTCTCTGTTCACTCCCACGTCAACGAGAGCCCATGGTCATTGAGTGTATAACATACTGATACAACCGCATTCTATGCTTGCCCTCACTTCTGGACACTATCAAACTGCCCTTGTTCTGCCAGCGCAAGATGCCCCTGTTCCGCCAGCTCAAGCTCCTTCATCACCTCCGCCTGTCGCACTCGTCGACGTATACGCTCACGCCGTATGTGACCGTGGGTAGAGGCTTCGTATCGAGCTGTTGCAAGCGCATGTGAGGCGCTGAGAGGGTGGTCAGGAGATTGTTACAGTGATATAAATGGGAACTTACTCAAAGTGCTGTCGGTCTAGCATTTCACGATGCGCTTCACTTGATACTCCCACGTGGCTCCAGTTCAGATACGCCACAACTACACTCTACATCTTTATTTAGCCCTGCCTCTCTCGCGGGGGCTAAGACTAAGAACCTACCGTCAAGCCCACAACCGCGAGAAACCTCGGATTCGACATATATCTCTCCTCAGCCGCCCCCGTATCTGCTCTCGGAGGCTCAAACCCAGTCTTGCTTTCGTACGGCTTCCACCCTTTCGACCCATCAAACCCTCCCCACGCACCCTTGCCCGCATCCGAATTTCGATAATTCCTCGAGGCAGGGTTCCAAGCTGCTGCGCCGTACGTCCGACGTCTGTGTATTTCCGCCCGCATCCATTGGTCTACCGATGAAGGTCCGGGAGATGATGAGGAGGAGGCAAGATCCCAGCCGTAGCCCGTTTTTGAGTAGGCGGCGCGAGAGGACGGTTTGGAGAGGAGGTTGTAGGCTTTGTTCAGGGTAGCAAAGTGGTCGGGAGAGGAAGAGGGATGAGACGAGTCGGGATGTAGCAGCAAGGCGAGTTTATAGTCTAAATATACATCATCAGCATTTGTGGTCAAACAAGAGAGCGACTTACATTGCTGTTTTACGTCCTGCTGACTAGCATTTGGATCGAGAGCCATGACTTCGTACGGATTTGGAGGCCCGCCCATCTTGCCCGTCTCTGGAAACCTATACTGCTGTGACAGTGTGCTTTGCCGCCCCTTTCCCTTATTTGAGGAAGCGCTCGTAGCTGACGAGTCGCTGGGCAAAGCAGCAGAAGACGCTGATCGATGGAAGAGGTGGGCGTGTCGGAGGCGTGCGCGGGCGATGCAGCGGGAAGAGCAGGGGAGGAGCATGTCGGGGGAGATACGAGGCCCAGAGACGGTGCTGGCGAGATAGTGGCCCACAGTCCTGCGAATACTTTGAACTTTGAGTGCATCGACCACGAAGCCAGGATCGAGATTGACGGAAGACCGCCATAAGCGGGCGGCCATCGCCGACGCCGTTCGATAAACCGTGGGTATCCAGATCCAGATCGTATCTCGCTCGACCTGCAACCTCAAGCTCCCAGCGACTCCCAAAAATATCAGAAGGGATGTCTCTATCGCCCCAAACTCCGCGTATCCAGTTATTTGACGGACAATCCCTCAAAGCAAGCGCCAGAGCTATTCATGTATGTAGGCACCGGCGGACGATCGTTGACATGAACGAGACACACAGCCTGCCCCTTTCTGTGACCTATGCTTTCTTTCAGATGGTGCTATGTGACTCGCCTTACGACCTCTACTGGGCATGCCATAACCTTCAGCAAATCTCGACACGACAAATTACAGTCTCGAATGGAGAGATGACACCAAATCACGCGGCGGTGGCACACGACTGCTGGCCATCATCGTCTCTCAAAGCACGCCCTTTCAACGCACAACACATCAACCAAGCAGCCTATCTTTGTGCATGGAAAGGGTCTAAGCCGATTGATCCGGAGTGCACGTTCAGAGGGAGGTCACCTTTGATGATAAGCTGATCAGTACGCGTGTGTTAGCGCGCACGCCCATCAGGCATTGTTCTTTTCTAAACCTTGTTAGCTTCCACTCTTCTATCCGATTTCCTGCCATATTCCGGCTACTTAACCTAGTGCCATCTCAAGCGCAGTCTTCCCCCAACACGCGACCATTGCCCACCTTCAAGCCCCAGACCACTAGCCACCAAACACGACTCTCACCTAAGGGTGCTCGCCCACCAGCCCCTAGTTCATGATCCTCCTGAATCTCATCACATTCCTTGCCGCCTTCCAATTCCGACATCTACCATGCGCGCCCCGCCCACTCCCCTCTTTCTGAGTCTCCTTGCCTTGTTTTCGATTTCCGCGCTCGGTGCGCCGAGCTCCATCGCCGCTACGAGCAGACCTCTACCCACCGCCTCATCCTCTTCCCTGTCTCCCATCGACGTTCTCGAGGCAAGTCACAGGGGGGCCAAGAAGAGAGAAGTCATCAAAAGAGCCCAGCTGGCTCCGGGCTTCACTTGGGGTACAGATCCCATGCGAGGGGTCAACATTGGCGGCTGGCTGGTACTTGAAGTGAGTGATCACAATTCCTTACCTTCTCAGCTGATGTCATGAGCAGCCATGGATAACGCCTTCCTTATTCGAAAATAAACCAGATTGGGTGGTAGACGAGTGGACGTATGGCGAATACATGAAGACGCAGAATAACACGATGGACGAGATCAGAAGCCACTGGAACAACTGGTTCAAGTATGCCGAATTGGAAGAGTGAGCTACTGGAGAAGTAGTCCAAAAGCTGACGAAAGCATAGTATAGCAGCATCAGGATTGAATACCATACGGATCCAGATAGGCTGTATGTCTGCTGGACGGGTGCTTGTCACAGGAGCTGATATGCCACAGACTGGTCAGTGATTGACCTGAGCACAGACGAGCCATACCTCGTCGGCGCATACGACTATCTAAAATTGGCAGTCACTTGGGCATCTAGTTTGAACCTCAAAGCGATGGTAGACCTCCACGGCGCTCCCGGCGGGCAGAACGGATTCGACAACTCGCAAGTTATCCCCCTCTAGATCTTCTTTCACTCTTTGCTGACTTTGCTACAGAGGCATTCGCGACTCTCGTCAATGGTTCTCCAATACCACCAACCTTGACCGCACCTACTCTGCCCTGTCCGTCCTCACTTCTGAATTCACCCAATCCTTCTACAACTCTACAGTGGTCGCCATCGAACTCATCAACGAGCCTTTCCCTTACAATGCGGCGGAGCTGGATGTACTGAAGGGTTTTTATCAAGGGGCGTATGGGACGGTCAGGGGAGCGGACCAGAAGGCGGGTGGAGGAGGGAACGATGTGGTTGTGGCCATCGACGAGGGATTTCAGGGGCTGACTACGTGGGAGTCCTTCATGCAGGCGCCAGACTACCAAAACGTCGCTATGGACACTGTACGCCCTCTTCTCATTCACTCTCTTTGTCTGACAATCATAGCACATATACATGATGTTTGATCTTGACCTCATTGCAATGGGGTATACGGAGAGCCTGGACTGGTACTGTGGCCAAGCAAGCTTTTTGAACCGGTCAAACAATGTTCATTGGACGATAGTGGGCGAGTTTGTCCGTACGTCTATTGTGCTTTTGCGTAGGATGACACTGACGGCTTGAGAAGCGGCGAACACGGACTGCGCTTACTGGCTGAACGGTCGAGGGCGTGGTGCCCGATACGACAACACTCTCAATACCTCAGCCTCGTATGTCTCTCCATAACGCCGCTTGTATTGCAACCTTTCAAGCTGAGACACCCAGCCTGGAATACCCAGGCGACTGTTCAGCCAAAACAGGAGCCGACCCAAGCGGATTCTCTGACGAATACGTGCAATATCTGGCAAAGTCTTTCGAGGTCCAAACATGGGTTTATGAGCAAGCCGTACGTTATCACCATGTCGACACCTGCCACCACGAGTACTGCTGATGATCGTGATCCAGAGCGGGTGGGTGATGTGGACTTGGAAGACGGAACGAGCAGCAGATTGGTCGATGCAGACTGGCATCACTTATGGTGACCTATTCCCATAACCCCGATCTCCGTTGAGCTGACTCCAAACAGGCTGGATACCTACTCCGATATATTCAAAACCTCACGGGTAAGCGCAACACCTCTAGCCAAACATATTTTGGCGCTGACTCGATCCCAGCACACCGTGCTCGTCTTCTACCACTGCTGCGACAAGCGGCGCTTACAGCCAGACACGGGGGGCTGTGATGCTGAGGATGGTATGGCTATTGCTTGTAGTGTGTATCTTGTTACGATTGTCTTGATACGACAGATTCCTAGATTCACCATAGATGTATCGCTATAAATTTCTATGAATTCTTGTCGCCCTCGACGATAATGCACGGACAGACACAAGTAAGCGGCCATCCACATTGGAGTCTTCCGCGCACCTGTCTTTGGAGGCTATGATAAAGATGCATTGTATGGTATAGCTTGTTCTGAAGACCGAAGCAGAACGAGATCAGGATTCTATATATGCAATAATTTGTTGTGAAGGGGTTTTTTCTAAGACAAGACAAGGAGCAGGAACGCAGCCGCGAACGCGATCAAGAGAGCGAGAATCGAGATATCGAGAAAAAGGAGAAAAAACCTCATACTCCGCATCCCTTCCACAATCTTTCAAACCATGTACACCACAAGTAAACGGGAGGAATAGTGATACAAGAGTTTTCAAAAGAAAGTAGAAGAGATGATGAGCATCAACAAAGATGTCGGAATTGTCCGCGGGAATAAATGAGAAAAGATCGTGTCGAGCTACTTTCGAATGAGAGAAAGATAGCTCAAGTGATACGTTGTGATATGTTGGTCGTCCAAAAACATGCCCTCCCTCCCCTCTGCTCCTCCTTCCGGATCGCCCCATGCCAACACGGATAGAGCTTTAACAGCCATCCTTGTACTGGTTCTTGGGGAAGTCGTACCCCGCTTCCGCCCAAGTGGTCAAGTCTGCCATCTTCATCAGCCTCAACTCCCACTAAACCAGAGAAAGATACTCACTAGGGTTGGCATAGACCTCGGCATGGTTCGCGATATAGTCTGCGGTAGGGTGGTCATCGGGATCACACCCGACACTGATCTTGTCCGATCGCTGGTACACTCGCACATAGCCTATACGGTAGTAGTTGGGCCACGTGAGATGGTCCAGGTCGACAGCCTGGAAATTGTAAGACATGGCAAGGTTGACAACCTATTCTCTTGTCAGCTGTGTCCAACAAAGAGTGACAAGTGAAGGACGTACCAAAGCCATGGGCTCTTCGGGGATGATTCTCCTGCCAATCTGCGTCTTGTTGTTCTCCGCCACCGCGTCCGCATACATTGTCCAACTCGTTGTGTTATCACTGTACCACGTGATGTACCCCTTTTCCCGCTCATCGGGATAAGCCTGGTACTCCATACCAAACATGGCATACTGCGAGTTGGTGCCGACTTGGTTGTGGTAGATATCGGTGGGGACTCGCGTGAGGGACGATACGGCTTGCTGGTATGTACCTCCGAGGTAGGTGTTCCAGTAACTGAGTTTGGTGTCGTACATCTTGAACATGGAGGTGACGTTGTTCCATTGGTAAGAGTCATCGAACGGTGCAACCTGTCCCACGTCAGCTTGTGTATCAAAGTAGAGTAGAGGGACGTACCTGGAAAGATTGCGACACTTCACCGACCTGCTCAGAGATGATGATCTGGGCTTCAATGATATCGATTTCAGGACTGGACCTGCCGACGTTGACGTTCGGTCCCGGGTGGTCTTCACCCTCGCAAGTACAAGAGGGGGTTCGCATACCAGGAAGAGCAGAGAGCATTCCATCGTCGGAGCCAGTGTTGAGAGCATATGAGGGGCCGGTACCGTTTGCCCAGGTTTGGTTCTCCATGATACCGACGTCGCAAGAGTCGTACGTGTAACTGGGCACGGTCAGTGAATGTCTTTCCAAAGGAGGGGATGGTACGCACGGCCACATGCCCTCGGTACTCGCACCGTAACCAGGTCGACCCAAGTTGCCCATCGTCCACATACCAGGCCAGAAACCACCGAGACCACTGGTACCAGGCAAACTGGCGGTAAACTCGACATAGGCATTCTTGTTGAAACACATCTTGTTCCAGGACTGGAGCATACCGGATTTGAAGTTGAGATCGTGGATGGGTTCTTGGGTCATGGTGAGAAGGAGATCACCGCCCTCGGTCGTGATGGCGGAGGGGTCGTACCATTCGAGATCACTGTTGCAGGGTCAGCGCGCGCGGGACGGGAGCAATGAAAAGACGCACCCAGTAGGCCAGTAGTGAATGTCCACAGCAGTCCAGAAAGGATCGTCACCCTCAAAAAAGGTTCGCCCGTCCTCCTCAAACTCGTCTGAAAACACCAATGTCCACTCGTTACCATCAAACCCAGTCCTGGTGTACGCGTAATCGGGGGTATCGCTGTCGATCAAACTAGGCATACCGGGGATGTCGGGGTATTGCCCAGACGAGTTGACACCGCCGATATTGTACCCAGCCGTGCTGGATCCGGAAGAAGAGTCATCGCTATAGTAGAATGAGAGGATGGGGTAGCCTGCGAAAAGCATGATGCCACCGCCAGCCAGCACCGCAAGGGTCAGCGCGTTGGCCCATCCTCTCCACGACATGATGTCGAAGGGCGTCGTGAGATCCTTCTTCTCCGCGGCGGTGAACGTGTGGAGATGGTCGTCGAGATCATCGTCGTCCTCCATGATGCCCCCATTGGCATACGCGCCGCTTGGCAGGGCGCCCTCCTGCACGCTCTGTGCGCCGGTATCGAGCTGCGCAGTGGGGCCGAATCGGTTACCACTGCTGAAAGACGCGTAGGAGGCAGAAGGGCTGTTGGCGCCGAGGCCGCGGTGGGACATGCTGGATTGCTGTTCGTAGGAGGCGAAAGAGGAGTCGGAGAGGCGCTGGGAGATGCCGGGGTTCTGGGCGGACGCGAGGAGGGGTTCACGGCCGAGCTGGGGGGATTGGTTGCCGTACTGCATTGGCACCTGGGAGGGGTAGCTGGGGAGGGTAGGCGGTGGATGCAGATGTGGATGCGGTTTGAGAAGAGAGGCGATGGTGGAGAAATGGGCTGAACCCTGCGCAGCCCCAGCGAGAATTGCGATTTCCGAGTTTTCCATTCGAGAATTTGGCCCCTGCCGCCGGCCGCAGTTCTATTTCTGCCACCGTAGCCAAGACCCCAACTTTCGTCTCCCATGTGTACGGCGCCATGCATCGCCCGGCGACTGTCCCGCATCTCTGGGGCATATCCCTGCATGGCAGCGAGGCAGCAGAGAGGGGCAGCATCCCCAAGGGGCCAACCAGACCGTGCCATTTCCCGCCCAAACGAGTCCCGCTACGCCTCGCGGGGCCAACTGCGCTATCCAAGGCTGTTCTCGCAAGCACTCTTTGCAAAGTCGAGCTGTAATGACCATCATGCATCGCCATCCCGCCTATCTCCTCCTCCGTGGCCTCCGTCTGCCTTACGCTTAGCTCCATCGACGCGTCCATGGGCCATGCTCCACTCTGCACCCCAGCTCTTACGATACAACGCGCGTGCTTACGAGAGCCCTGAAAATGTCCCCTTCATCTGGTCCACAACGGCACTAACCAGGCGATCGCAGAAATGGGCCGAGGCCGCCGTTGGAATCACGGCACAAAGTGGGGGGGGCCGTGTGGATGCAGGACCAAACACGCTGAGGTGTTGCTTGGGTGTTGCTGATGGTTTTGTTGGTATGGGCGGCTGTATAGAGCTTTGCGTCAATTGCTTCTGGAAATGCCAGCTGCAACGTCGAGATAATCCTCAATCTCCTTCTATTGGTCCAAGTCATCATCCTGAGTCAGTCCTGACATGTCGGCGAGACAGCTCATCAGCTACTTCCACCATGCTTGCTGTCTTGAGCATGCACGAACGTCCTGGCAGTCAAGTCTTCCACCGTCTCAAAGGGGCTTGTTGATCCCCCTTAGCTAGAGCCTAGACATCTCGGAGGGTTCCTTCAACGTCTCAACGAGTATTCCCGTTCTTGAATTGCCCTTTCAGATCTGCTGGGTATTCTCCTCATCGAATGATGCATCTTTTGAGCAACATCGATATTAGAGGCGTAGAGGTATCCTGGGTGGTAGCAGCATTCATGTTGTGCATCGCCGCCTTGGTCTGAAGCTGCTGGCGTGCAGTCACACTGGTATAGTACACTCAAGTGTCGGGGTCAGGAATTAGGAACTGGGAATCAGGAAGGGAGATGGGAGATGGGAGCTGCAACTGGAACAAGATCGCAATTGTCGACTCCCTCTCTCCTACCGGTGTCCTCCGCCCTGCTCGTGGGGGAACCAAACAACGCGTTGGTAGCCGCGAGAACAATGGATGTTTCAGTGGCGTGTTTCAGCTCTCTGTCCGCGTGGGCATACCCTAACCCCTCCATACACACTTGGTAGCCCCGTCGCATAGAGATGCCTACACAACCACCAGGTGCCTCCCGCAAGCCTGTGCACGGCCCCCCGCTGTACCTCGCTCGTTTACCCTGCCCCCTCGCCCATTCGCATCTCTTTTCTCTTTCTCTTTCCTCTCAGCCCCGTCCCTGCTGCCCTTCTGTACTCGCCCACCCACCCACACTCTTTTCACCACACTCTTTTACCCCCCATGTCCAACCACTCCCCCTACACCCCCACCGCACCCACCAACCCCTTTGCTCCTCCTCCTCCCCGCCCCAGGGACTCGGGCGTCACCGCCATCGGTGCTCTCCTCTCCACCTCCTACGACGACTCGGACGAAGGGTCCAACTATGGGCCCTCTCCCAAGCCCGCTAAGCGCCACCCTGTAGCCAGGCAAGGCCCCACTGTAGGTCAGGGCGGCCAGGCGGCCGTTGCGCAAAACGTCAAGAGCATTGAGGGCGAGCTCGACGCTGGCTCTGGTCATCATATGGCGTACACCAGCCCCGAGATCCACAGCCAAGCACCATTCGGTCACCAGCCGGATCTTCAGCCGACGAACGGTCTCGGTTTGACGGCCTCCCCGCCAAAGCCTGTGCGGAGCTACTCGAACGGGCCCCAGCCAGACTACCATGTACCCATGGCCGGGCGGGTCGAGCCCCAGCGGTCCAACACTGCGCCTATGCAGCACCACTACCCTCCCCAGCCTTCGCCTCAAAGACGACCCCAGCCGCCTGGTATCAACACCCTCCCCCCGCCCCCGCCCATGCCCATCAACCTCCCTGCCCCTGCGTCCCCTATCGCCCCTCTCCTCGCTGCCCCACCTTCCCCCCACATCTCTCCCATGTCCGCTACCTCTGCCCCTTCATCCCCCGTCGTCGGCCGTCCCTCTTCTCCCTCCCCATCGCTTGCGCGCATACCCGCCAACGCGAGAATGTCGGCGTCGTCTGCTTCCATCCGCGGCTGGGACGCGCTAGCGGAGAAGAAGGCGATGTTTAGGGAAGGAGAAGATGAGGTCATGTCGCCGTTTTCGACGTCTCGCCCGAGGAACAAGCCGAGTGGGTTGAGAGAGGGAACGAGGGCGAGCGGGATGGATTTCTGGAAGAGGTTTAGTGTGGCGGACAAGTTGGATCAGGCTGAGAAGAGGGACGGGCCGAGCTCGTATGTTCTTCTCCTCCCTTTAGGGGTTAAAGCTGACAATTAGTAGCGACTGGCTGTCAAAAGCACAGAACAACCGAGGTCTGATCAAAAAGATGGTCTTTGGCGGTCTCTTCCTCGTACGTCCCTCGTCACTTCTCCCCGCATCTCTCGTACTGACCCATGGGCAGATTGTCCTCATCGTCGCTGCTATCGTCGTCATCGTCATCCTTCTAAAGCAAAAGAAAGGCAGCTCCTCCTCGGTCGAAACTCAGGGCAACCTCTAGTCTCCTCCCTCTTGACTCTCCTTCTCTTCATCCTTTTCGCGGTTATCGGTGTTTTGTGGTTTATACCCCCTTGAAAAGAGCCAGTCTAGAATCCTGTAGACTTTGCGGACCCTCTCTCCCTCTCACGTCTTTCTCTTGATCTAGTGTCTTTCGATGCCCTAATGTCTCTATCCCATGTCTTTTTACGTCAACGTCTTGACGCCCCTCATACTCTACTCTACCCTTCTGCTTATGCCCCCCTTCGAATGTCTTTGTGACGCTGGTTCACGATCATCTTACCACTAGTATCTGGCTTACATAGCCCGTTCGCTTCATATTGTATGCATCATTGTGCTTTCTGCTGCTCTATAGATTTTTTCGCATACGGGCACAACAAAGACAAATGTATGTTGAGGTGTCTCGACAAATTTTGAATGTGTCCGCTGTTTTCGCCGTTAGTTGAGCTTATACCATCAGCCAGTATACCTGCATCTGTGCCTCCGCCAATCTATCGCCCCTTGCCTCAGCTCGCCTTGTCCAGTTGTCCTTCTTCTTACTTGACTTCTTTCCTCGGAGGAGCCAAACAAGGTTACGTAATATGCGTCACGGTTGCCGCCGTCCACCACCACCACTCGTGGATGCCCTTTGATCATCCTGAATCCCAGCAACACCGACACGCTACCCCGCCATGAACGCACCGGTGGCATTGCTATCGACTCTGATATCCCAGCTCAGCGAGGGCGACTGGGAAGGCTCGTGGCCTGTCTATGGAGATGATGGCGATGGAGATGGCAATGGGACTCGTCCGCATCTACCACCTGGTTCGGGGCCTACTCGTGAGTCTGTTACCTGTATCCATCAATGTATGACTAGAGCTGACCTGCGTATGACAGAGACATTCAGCGGTATGTTTATCGTTGTTGAACGCTTGGACGACCGTCGCAAAGCCCTGCGCACAGCGTGCTCGAGTCTCAAGACATGTGCTGATGAAATACGTCTACAGGTCCTTGGTTCTCCACCCAGCTAGTACTTTCATTGGCTATCGGCCTAACGAGCTTCTTGTTATTCTGTTTCCTGCGGACAAGATGGGACGTAGTTTATATGGGCCGGACGAAATTGAAAGGCGAGTCCTCTTGTCCTTGCACTGGTCTATCGCAAGCTTACTCATATGGGGATCTGCAGACTTTTCCCCTACCCCTGCTCATGACTCTGATTCTATTCGATCATCATCTTCGAGTCGATTCTTTGGATGGATAATACCAACGCTCAAGACGTCAGACTTTACAATGTTGCAGACTGTGGGGCTGGATGCTGCTGTCGTGCGTTACTTCCAAGTCGTCAAAGGAGTGAAGGCTGATTTGGGACAGCTCTTGAACTTTTACAAGATGGCGTTCACCTTGTTCAGTCTGGCTTCTGTTTTGGCTCTGGTCGTACTTATCCCACTGAATCTATTCGTCAGTCCATCTCTGTCTGCTTTGGCCTTGGTTGACACTTTCACAGCGGACCGGCTCTACGGACTCTGAGCCCGACACTCCACAAAACGGAACCCTTCTTCTCACTTCTGCACACATCTACAATTCCTCCGCCCCAGCCCAATCATCACTCTACGACCTCCTCCTAGACCCCACCACATCCTCCACCATCCACCTCATCTTCACCTACCTCTTCACATTCCTCTGCCTCTCCTTCTTCCACAGCAACTTTCACAAATTCGTGCTCGCCAAACAAGCATTCGGCCTGCAGTTGATACACTCCATCTCGGCGAGGACGGTGTTGGTGACGAATCTGCCGGTGTATTTGAGAGGGGAGAGGGCGTTGGCAGAGTATTTCGAATCTTGCAAGTGGCAAGTGGAGAGCGTCAATGTGTGCCGGCAGGTGGATCTTCTCAAGACGGTATTGGAGCGCAGGACGAGTGCTTTGAGAAAGCTGGAAGAAGCTTGGGCGGCGTGGGTTGGCAATCCCGCGCAGTTGGGTGGGTATGATCCGCATATCTACTCCGGCAAGACGACGCCTCAAGAACAGGAACAGCAGACGCAAGAGCCACGTGAGGGTGTGCTGGTGGATGTCGATGGTGCGGATAATGGCGATACAACTTCTCTCTTATCTGCCGCACCGCAGACGTACGGAGACGATACCGAGTCCGACGGGCAACACCCACACGCATACATCCACAT